TTGGCCAAAATTGAGAAAAATTGCAAGGGGTTAGCCTTACATTTTTATCAAAATTTGGTCAAAAATTGACTTTTCTCCAAACAACGCAGAAAGTCTTTCAGAGGCAAGAGGAGCATCAATTACTATTCAAATACCCCAAATTTTGCAGATTAGGGCAGATTTCATGGATATTTTTGAGGAAAAAAATTAATTTTTGGACCAATTTAGCACTATATTTTAGGCGAAATTTTCTTTTCAGAAGCACGCCTGTCATCGAATCGAATTGGAATGTCTTCTAGGGTCTTTTAGGCATCTTCCCTACAAGTTTTAGGGAAATTCATTTTTTGGCCAAAATTGAGAAAAATTGCAAGGGGTTAGCCTTACATTTTTATCAAAATTTGGTCAAAAAGTGACTTTTCTCCAAACAACGCAGAAAGTCTTTCAGAGGCAAGAGGAGCATCAACTACTATTTAATTACCCCAAATTTTGCAAATTTAGGCAGTATTCATTGATATTTTTGAGGAAAAAAATCACATTTTTGACCGATTTTGCACCAATTTTCGGCGAAATATTCTTTTCAGAGCACGTCTGTCATCAAAATGAATGGAAATGTCTTCTAAGGTCCTTTAGGCATCTTTCCTACAAGTGTTAGGGAAATTCATTTTTTAGTCAAAATTGAAAAAATTGCAAGGGGTTAGCCTTACATTTTTATCAAAATTTGGTCAAAAATTGACTTTTCTCCAAACAACGCAGAAAGTCTTTCAGAGGCAAGAGGAGCATCAACTACTATTTAATGACCCCAAATTTTGCAGATTTAGGCAGAAAATTCATTAATATTTTTGAGGAATAAAAATCACATTTTTGACCGGTTTGGCACCAATTGTCGGCGAAATATTCTTTTCAGAGCACGTCTGTCATCAAAACGAATGGGAATGTCTTCTAAGGTCCTTTAGGCATCTTCCCTACAAGTTTTAGGGAAATTCATTTTTTAGCCAAAATTGAAAAAATTGCAAGGGGTTAGCCTTACATTTTATCAAAATTTGGTCAAAAATTAACTTTTCTCCAAACAACGCAGAAAGTCTTTCAGAGGCAAGAAGAGCATCAATTACTATTCAAATTCCCCAAATTTTGCAGATTCAGGCAGAATTCATTGATATTTTGAGGAAAAAAATAAATTTTTTGATCGATTTGGCACCAAATTTTCGGCGAAATTTTCTTTTCAGAGCACGTCTGTCATCAAAATGAATGGAAATGTCTTCTAAGGTCCTTTAGGCATCTTTCCTACAAGTTTTAGGGAAATTCATTTTTAGGCCAAAATTGAAAAAATTGCAAGGGGTTAGCCTTACATTTTTATCAAAATTTGGCCAAAAATTGACTTTTCTCCAAACAACGCAGAAAGTCTTTCAGAGGCAAGAGGAGCATCAACTACTATTTAATGACCCCAAATTTTGCAGATTTAGGCAGAAAATTCATTAATATTTTTGAGGAATAAAAATCACATTTTTGACCAATTTGGTACCAATTTTTGGCGAAATTTTCTTTTCAGAGCACGTCTGTCACCAAAACGAATTGGAATGTCTTCTAAGGTCCTTTAGGCATCTTCCCTACAAGTGTTAGGGAAATTCATTTTTTAGCCAAAATTGAAAAAAATTGCAAGGGGTTAGTTAGCCTTACATTTTATCAAAATTTGGTCAAAAATTAACTTTTCTCCAAACAACGCAGAAAGTCCTTCAGAGGCAAGAAGAGCATCAATTACTATTCAAATTCCCCAAATTTTGCAGATTCAAGCAGAATTCATTGATATTTTGAGGAAAAAATTAAATTTTTTGATCGATTTGGCACCAAATTTTCGGCGAAATTTTCTTTTCAGAAGCACGCCTGTCATCGAATCAAATTGGAATCTCTGCTAGGGTCTTTTAGGCATCTTCCCTACAAGTTTTAGGGAAATTCATTTTTTGGCCAAAATTGAGAAAAATTGCAAGGGGTTAGCCTTACATTTTTATCAAAATTTGGTCAAAAATTGACTTTTCTCCAAACAACGCAGAAAGTCTTTCAGAGGCAAGAGGAGCATCAATTACTATTCAAATACCCCAAATTTTGCAGATTAGGGCAGATTTCATGGATATTTTTGAGGAAAAAAATTAATTTTTGGACCAATTTAGCACTATATTTTAGGCGAAATTTTCTTTTCAGAAGCACGCCTGTCATCGAATCGAATTGGAATGTCTTCTAGGGTCTTTTAGGCATCTTCCCTACAAGTTTTAGGGAAATCCATATTTTGGCCAAAATTGAAAAAATTGCAAGGGGTTAGCCTTACATTTTTATCAAAATTTGGCCAAAAATTGACTTTTCTCTATTGCAACTTGAGTTGTATTTTTCACTCCGAAGTCTCGTCCCGTTTATGTATTTTAGTCTTTATGACCGTTGTCTTTCACTGTTGTATATATCGTCCTTTTTTACAACTAGATATTTTAAAGAAACAAAATGAAGAATAGAGATGAACAAAAAATAGTTTTTCTTTTTCTGAAGGCAACTTCCGTTTATGATTTTATACAAGTGATAACATTGCTAAACATATAACATACCTACTAAAGTCATATAATGTGTAGATGATCGATAGTTGTGTACAAGTTTGCTTAATGAGGTCAAATCTTGAATAACGGCCAAAAACAAAAATGCAATATGCTCGAGTCAATTTTTTATACAAACAACTTGAAATATGCTGACCACTGTTGTACAGTGGGCCTTTCAGGAGAAAAAAAACCTCTCGTTTTTTATTCTTACGCATATTTCAGCCAGATAGCCCATAAACATTTCCAGTGGAGTTCCCTTGGTAGAACACGAGAAGGGGGACAACATTTTTTAGGAGGTGGGTGAAAAACTTTGGGAAAAAAATTGCTGAGAAAACGCTCAGAATTGGGCAGAACTGAAAAAAAAAAAAAAAAAAATCCAAAAATGTTTTATACTATCTTTATGCACTGCTGTAACAACCCATTTCTTTTGAGGCCAAAATCAATGTCGGTTCAACGTCATGAAGGCAAGTTATGACAGCGTATTTTAAAACCTAAATAGTTAATATGCACAGAAGCAGCTATGCTCAGCTAGCTATAGTCGGTGGAGGAAGATAGTACATAAAATAACGGGGAAAATTAGGATTTGGGAGAACTTGGTCAAAACACGATATCTGAAGTGTAACACTCTTAAACAAGTGCGAGTGCACAATAGGCTGCGACGCTGGTGGCACATATAGAACACCAAATTTTAGGTCAATTTTCGGGGACCTTTCCTTCTGGATAACGTCCAACCACTACACAAAATGGCGTCCACCTTGTTCGAGGAAGATGTTGTACAGTGTAAGTGTGAGTGCAGAATAAGCTCTGGCCATGTTGCAAGAAGCCTTGCAAATATTCCCCCATGCGAACCCACAAATCAGGTTCTTATTATACATATCCAGCAAGAAAAAGCAATACAGAAAGTTGTTTGACATTACTGGTACAGTCATCTGCTTATTACCCTTGCCTATGAAAATGCGTAATATGTATACTGCTATAATATGCATTGCTATCTTGTGGAGTCACGTCCACCTGTACAAAGAGAAAATTGGGGAAACCTCAGGCAACCTTTTGAATGCATTACCAACAACACCCGATGCTCACACAAAATGCCATGCGTTTGTGTGCATTCAAAGTTACACCAACCCTCCTATGCAAACATACAGGTAGACTCTGTGCCAAGTTGTCCTTTCAGTCAAAATCAATCAAGTGACTGTTTTCAGCAGTTAAGAGCTCCCAGCCTATATTGACTGGCTGTGACTGTTTATGTAACTCGATACAGCTATGCTTTGACTGCAGGTGATTGATAAGCCAGCTGTGCCTACCACTTGCCTGCTTTTGTCGGTTGACTGAAATTGACTAGTCACAGTGCTTGCTTAAATAGGATCTGACTGTTGGTGACTAGCCTGTGTAAAAGGCATGGCAGGGAAAGAGGATTGATTTTGTTTGACTGTCTGTGACTGTTCAGACAGCAGGAGGGTCAAATGTGTGCACATCGCACCATTTGCCAGCAAACGAACGTGCATCAGTGTTTCTCCCATTCAAACTCTCATGAGTTGCGACATGAGTTGCGGCGATTTCCTGCTAACGGAACCTCCGTCGATTTCACAGCGACCGTAAGCATGAAGCACAGCAAAAGGCCAGCTTACCTTGAACATATGGTCGTGCTCATGTGCTTGCCCCCTCCAAACACACACAATGCACCTTGGTCATTCTACAAATTTAGGCTCCAAAGTGTGAAATTGTCCATGTCCCTGTTTAATACCTTGGTGCTTTGTAATTTGCCATTCCACGACTTCAAACAATTTTGTATTTGTTTTGTAGGTAGTTTGCTAATCTTAATCAGTCTTGGAGGATGACTGCATTAAGGAGTGCATCAGACTAAAATCACAGATGATATAACAGGGACAGGAAAAAAAGTGGACCCCAACCTTTATAGGATCACCAATCTGCAAAAATTAATCTTTACACATTTCTGTATTCACGTAAAAGCTACAGTCCATCATTTGCAGCCTTCCAAAAAGTAACTGACATAATTATTGTTGAAAAACATACTTGGTTGAAAGATAGTAAGGGGACTAAACTCCCTGTGAAATTATTCTTTAGGGCATGCTGTCATTTTGAAGAAATCAACAAAAGAAGGCCTTTCCAACGGTGCATCTAAGATGCACCGTTGGAAATTTCCGTTGGTAGTTCATGTTTTTTTAATCGGCGAAAGCGTTGACACAACACACACGCGTGCGCAGGTGCTACAATTTGTTTGATCAGTGCGCGACATCGCGTAGCTGCAATCGGCTCAGCGAGAACGTATCTCGGATGCTGAATTCAGGCCCAACTCAAAACATGATTCAGCAATTGTTGATTTGAAGTCGAAATCCTCGAATGTTGTTTTCTCGGAATATACAGCATTCACCGAGTTGAAACTTCATCAGGTTAGTTGTTAAGCACCCTTCTTTAGATTTTTTAGAATGATGGACTATACCTTTAATAATGAACAGTAACAGTGATATTCAAGGGTACAACATAATCATTACCTTGTATTCGTAACATGAATTAATTTGATACCGATTCGTAGGTTGGTTCCTCGCCATTTGCTGTATCATCCAACACGATGTTTTCCCCCGCGACGCCCCCCTTGGCTCCGTCCTCCGCCCCTCCTTCGTCCTTTTCCCCACCTCCAGGCACCCACAGCCCCGAGTCCACGCAGCGTTTGATGTGGTACTCGGCGTCTGCTGGCTCCATGGTGCCCACCACTTTCTGCAGCATGGAGATGTCTTTGCTCTCGAAGCACGCTTGCATTTCCTGGATGAGACAGGAAAAATAAATGTAACTTTTCCTTGCAAAACTTAAGATGATCATTTCTGAATACTGTAAACCTTTCAAACAATTCCTTAGGTTTGTCATTCAGTTCAGTTCGGTTCAGATACACTTATTTCATGTCAACATCATTGGAAAAAAATGATAACTATGCTTATCATACACTGCAACTTGTTCAAAAGAAATTATCTATAGCAATATAAAATAACTAAATAATTATCTGATGTTAACATGTAGGAAAAAGGAAAAGCTTAAAACAAATACATTGCAAGTATCTGTACATACATGTATTTAGAGAGTATAGTCCATTAGCTTTTCAAGTACGAAAAAATCTTTTGAAAAAATCAAAAGACCAATAACTGTTTCAGCTATAAGTGTGTATTTTGGAGGGATAGTAACAACTTACCGCGGGTAGCGACTCAAAGACCTCTACTGGATCCAGCCCACCAGGTCCTAGTCTTGCCTGTCTCTCCCGTTCCATTTCCTTCAAAGAAACAAAGCCAAGGGGGAAAATTCAACAAATTCTCTTGGACTAGGGGGCAGCTCCAAACTTTGGGGGTCAGTATTTTATAGAAAATATTGCTCCATTGAACTATTTAAAGTCTGGTGTTCATAGATGCTGGAAAACCAAAAAACAATGCTGATTTTGAAGTGTGGTTCTCTGACCCTACTTACGATAATTTATAGACTTCAGGGATATTGTCAGGTCAGGAAACCAGACTAGCTGGCTCGCACCCGTTCACGGATGTGTAACCGATTGTAAACAAAATGTGGAATAACTAAATTTGGTGAAATGGGGGCAGCATGTGAAAAAAAGGCATTTTTTTTCCAATGATGGTCAGTTGACCATCGTTGGAAATTGATACAAAAAGTCAACTTTTCTTGAAAATGACAGTACACCAGGTGCCGTGATTTCACAGGATGCTTGAGACTATTATGCACTTACAGTCAAGTAATTTGGTAGTTTTGTTTTTTTGACGTTTGCAAATGTTATATATTACCTTTAATACCACATCACACCTAAAGACTAAATTACAAAAAAAGTTTCTATGTACTTTCTATATCGTTTGGTTTTCTGGCAAACTTTATGCATTTAAAACAGCCACAAAAATAGTTTAGTTTCAACGTTCACCAAGCTTAAAGTAACATCAAAGCCCGATTTCCAGTGAATAAATGCACATGAAAGTAATTTTTAAATCCCTAATTACAAACGTAAATTAATTCACAAAAAGTTTAAAGTAATCCAAAGAGCCCTAATAGAGGTAAATTAATTGACACTCTTAAAGAAGATTTTGAATGCCCTAATTATCAATGTAAAATAATTCACAAAGTTTGAAAGTTTAAACAAAGCCCTAATTACCATAAACCTATTCACCTGTCCTCACCTCTTCAGCTTCTTTCTCGGCCCTCTCGATCCTCTCCTGGGCCTTCTTCCGGATCCGCCCCTTGAAAAGATCCAGCTCCTCGTGGAACGACTCCATGTACTTCTTGTCGGCACTCTTGATCCTGCAGAAGATGGGTGGGAATAATATGGGAGGGTTAGTTACGTTTGTAGAGTGAGATAAATGGAAAACGTCCCCATGTTGCAAAGTTGTGGTTGGGTCCTCAGTCATTTTTAGAAATGGATGGATTTCGGGGAGTATTGTACAGCAAATATTGTTACACTGACGTGTTTAAAGTTTTCTGTTCATAGATGCTGGAAAAAGTAATTAAAAACATGCTGTTCTTGCAGTCTGGTTCCCTGACCCTACTTATTTACACAAATGTATACTCATAGGGGAATTATCAGGTCAGGGAGCCACACTAGCTGGCGTGCACACGTTCATGAATGTGTAACAAACAAAATGTGGACAAACTAGATTTGGTAGCTTGGGGGCAGTATTGAGAAAAGTCAGGTTTTTTTCCAACGATGGTCAGCCAACCATCACTGGAAATTGATAAAAAGAAATCCTCTTTTCTTGTAAAGGACAGCACACCAGGTGCCATGATTTCACAGGATGCTTGAGACCGTCATTCACTAACAGTCCAGTAAGGTATTTGATAATAATTTTGTAGCTTTGTTTTCCGGTATTTGCAAATGTTAGTACCTTTAAGCACTAAAAATATTTTGAGGCAGCTTTTGACCAAAACAAATAAATCCACTTGGTTGTGACTCACTTTTGGAAGAAAGGACGGACGCAGGCCCTGGGATCCTGCTTGAGGCTCTTGGCCAGCTCCAAGATGAACTGCATGACGATGGTCTGATGGGCAACTTGCTCCATCAACGACTCTTTCTGTTGGAATCACAGACGAGAACACACCATTTTTAACCCTTTTCCGTACCATGGGCAGCTTTTGTCAACAAGGAACACCCCCCGGCTGCTTACCATATAGGCGACTTTAGTCGACCAGGAAACCACACAAACAGAACACCCTCAACACAGATTTAATTCACTGCTTTTCTGCAACCTGGCACGTTGGTATCGTTGGCCGCCCATACATCAACCATTTACCAGCTGGAAGAGTGTTTTTGGATCGTTCCAATGGTGTACATTATTCATAGTGTACATGTAATACCATTATGAACATTTAGGAAAAGTGCTTCAAAAGTATCCACACACAATTTGAGGTATGGAGTGCCATTTGGTCATGTGGTGAAAAGATTCAGTTTGAAAACTGGGACCAGATAAAAAAACAGGCATAAGGCCAAAAAAAAAAAATAGTCGGTCTCTGGTCAGACCAAAATTCCGGAATTGACGCGGCCACGCGGTTTTTTTTTTTTTTTGCTTTTTTTTTTTTCTTCTTCAAGCTTGGATTGTACAGACAAGGTGGGTACTATTTGCTTTTTTTGGTGTCCCCATGTACATTGGTGTCCTCCATAATTTGCCTTGGTGCTTTCGATCATTTGCCTTGGTGCAATTTCCCATTCCTTGGTGCTCTTTGGTAAAAAAAAATGAGGAGGTGCGGAAATAGAGGGCGCTGTTGGAGCAACCGCGGAACATTTTGAAGAAAAAAGAAGATTGACGCGCATGCTTAAAATCGACACGCGCGCTGACCAGAGACCGACTTATTTTTTTTTTTGGCCTAACTTTCTTATTTTTGCACATATGGACTTCATTTTTACATCACATAAAAGACTTAAGTTCAAGGAACAAACTTTACACACACCACCACTGATTTTAATCACTCCTTGGTAGTGAAAATCTGGGTTGTATAAAAGTGAGTTTTTGACTTGTGGTCCATTTTTCGCGATCTAGTGATTTCCGCATGACTGAGCAAACAATTTGGTTCTGGGGACAGCCAAGTCAATAAGCAATGTGGTAAGGAAAGGGTTAAAATCCGGTATTGAAATTTAGGTAAAATGTTGTCGGGACCACCAGGACAACATTGGTATCACCTAGACCATAATTGTTTTGTGCTGTTTATCAAACCTAAAAAGAATGTCAAGGCATTGTACACCCTAAGTAATTTCAACTAACACCTTTAGGATTCAGACTCTGGATTTTGTTGATGTATCAACCGAAACTTTTTTTTCTCACCCAATTGATAATGGTTTTGCTACTGAAAAGCTAATAATAATACAATAATTCGGGAGGCTAATCATCCTTACTCACAGCTGGTATGCTGAATTGCGAAGGACGCGGCTACAACGTGGTCGGGCCGCTGGCACGTAAAGGCGCCTATGGCTGCCGGCCACATCGACCCATATATGACCACGGAGCACAGCCTGAGATCAAAAGTGTTTGATTTTTCCGGAGGGAGGAAAACCGGAGGGCCCGGAGAAAAACCCTCGTGGCACAGGAGAGAACCAACGCACAACTCTACTCGCATGTGGTCCGCGGCCAGGATTCGAACCGTGGTCACCTTGGTGAGAGGCGAGCGCTTTACGCATGAGCCACCCATATGAACTATAGTCTCCAAATCTGTATCGATATTTGCGATGTATTTTTTTTAAAGCTGTGAAATAGACGGTGCTTTGAGGGTTCCGTTTTTGGGGGGACACCCTGCATGATCTAATTTTGTCAGGGAGATGTTGATTCAATACTAGGTTTTGTCCAAACTTCCATCTCCCTGGCGCCAACATTTCAATGTTTTTGTTCTTTTACCTTTTCCACCATGAGATCAATGGCCCAGATGACTAAGTAGTTGGCCGTATACTCGCAGACCAGATCCGTGTGCTGCTGCAGGAATTCCCCCGTGTCGTCCCACTTCCGGTGCATGCCGTACTTCTTGATGTCTTTCTCGTTCTTCTTGACGAAGCGGGCCTGTCTCTTGTCTTGCTCTTCCTCGGTCAGGTCCTCGTCTCTGGGGGTGTATTTGTTGATGCGGGTGCTGCTGAAGCCGTCGTGGCTCAGCGTGTCCACGTTCCATGGTGTGAGCTGAGGTCACAAATGACAAAAATGCAACAGTTACTTGCAGAAAATTCAACTTTCTGGCACCCTATAAGACATTTGCAAGTTAAATTTGAATAAAATCTGGAACACCAACTTAATCCAGTGCTTTGCACGTTTTAAGTTTGCATTCTCTCAACCAAAGAGGCTGATACTTTATCACGATTCGGGACAAGCCTTATGCTAGCAACACCCAGCTCCGGCATGGTCTGGTGCCTTTGTGCCATTCTCACCCATTGTGAAAAATGTATTGGTGCTGAGCGTCTCTTACGTAACTATGCAAGAGCTTGCCCCGAATCATGTGATTAGCAACAGTGTCTTTTGTCCGGAGAATTCAAAGTTAAAATGTACCAAGCATTATGAGCAATTCAGTGTACCAGATGTTTTTCGATTGTAAATCCTAAAGGGTATAAGTTACTCATGGCTTACTGCGCAGTGGGACTTTACCAAATTTTGGAGATGAAACTGGCCTGTGGAGAATGAAATCAGAAAATAGACCGAACAAAAATCTGTGTCCGAAACCTTGGCCGCACCGCATTTACACATTTAGGTATGCACAATACAATTCATGCCCAATTTCCGGGCACCCCCCCACCCTGTTTTGTTTTAGATCCAAACTAAATTTTACAATGAGAAAAATGTTGAGCATTTCCATAAAATTAAAAAGCCTGAATTACAGTTAGAGTAATGGACTCGTCCACACAGAAGTTCATCACTTCTTACTTGAGAAAGTTGAGGAAAAAGTCTGAAAAACAAGTGCACCACTTACCACCATACGTGACCATTCGACCAAACTCCATGAACGTATGTGGGACAAATCAGGCATTATTGTCTTTTTTCTTCTAACAACTGCCAGTGAAATTGATCATTGATGCTCTCTTCGCCATCCTCAAGATCATCATTTCAAAGATCAAGATCATCAGCATTATGTCAAACCAAATCTGAAAGCTCCGACAATCGCGCAGCATGTCGATTTTTATTGTTGTCAAATTCCATATGTGCAACAGCCTTGAATTTCTGTATGAAGCTACTAGTTTCAATCATGTCATATGTTAAAGGGAAAATACAACATTTGCAAACATCGAAAAATAAAATGACCAAGTTTTTACGAAATACCTTACAGGATGTCGGTAAATGACAGTCTCAAGCATCCTGTAAAATTATGGCACCTGGTGTGAAGTCATTTTTAAGAAAATGATATTTTTGTTTACATTTCCAACGGTGGTCGGCCGACCACCGTAGGAAAAACCTAACTATTTTTCACTACTGCTTCAAATTTACCTTTTTTTTCAGTCCAATTTTGTTTGCTAATTGGTTTTATGTTCATGAATGGGTGCAGGTCAGCTAGACTGGTTCCCTTAGCGTACAAATTTCCGGCATCTGTAAATTGATCCATTTCATCTTCAGTGGAGTCAGGGAACCAGACTACTTGAACATTTTTGTTTTTCTTGGTTTTTCCAGCATTTTCGAAAACAAAACTTCAAACATGTCAGTGTAACAATAATTTGATCTATTATACTAACCCCTCAAATAGTTCATTTCTGAAAATTAAAGCATAAGCCAATGATGTACATTCCCTTTAATACTTAAACTTATTTCCAGTCGTAAACTACTCTAATCTGGGCTTACTTATGTGCATCTACCATACAATCTCTGCCCTGACGACTGGGAGAACAGATTAAAATTGCGCTCGCAATACCGATGTTGCGGTGCCATTTTCATCAAATTCGTTGACAATTTTATTTAAAATCAGACTTTGTGTGGAAAAGGTCGTCAGAAAAATCGGAATTTTAAAAACAAATTTGAAAAATAAAAAACAGTCTAGACTTTAAATTCAGGCGACTGTTCAGAAAATTTAGCACATTGAGGATTCCAGTATCTAAGACACATTTATGGGGCTACGCTGTTTTTCTAGACACTCACTTTCTCCTTCTTGGCAAGTTCCTCCTCTTTCTCTCTCCACTTCCTGTTTTGTTCCTCCAAATCTTGAAGCTCTTCCTTAACTTTGCTGATCTGGAATGTATTAACAATGAACACTCACTGATGAAACAATAATATCGGGGGGAAGGGCAATAGCACAATTACTTGCATTAACGCTAACAATCCCCATCCAGTCAAACTCCAACACCAGGGTTTGTTGGAATCTGTTGGAGTGAGGACTGTACTAGTAAACTGATTGTGCTTTATACATGGGGTTAGGCATACCACCAATGAACAGAGTCAAACAGGTTTTGTGTACAAGCATTACATTCACTGTGTGGACTTCCGCACAAAAGATGTCCACATAAACCAATTTTCAGATACGTTGTGTGGACTTGCCCACGTCCACACAGTGCTTCCCCCTCTCTGGAAAACAGGTTTTGAGGCATTTTGGGGTTAGGTTTATGTCTCGCAGAATGAAGAGAAACACTCAAGGGAATCATGGTAAAAAAATTTGGAATAGAAGAGTTTTCACAGTGTGAGTAAAATGAGATTTTTCACATTTTTTCTTAACTACATGAAAACAAAGGATGTCCACCCTACATGTAACGTAAACATTTGTGTGTAGTTTACCATATGGTGTTGGAATTTGCAAGAGTGAGGAAGGTTCCTAGAAATTCACTCTAGCGTTTTCACAATAGAGCTTCTCAACCCAGGTTGAAACTCAACCCTGGGCAAACACAGGGTTAATTTTTTTTAATTTTTCAACCCTGCGTTCAACCCTGCGCCGTTTCACACTTGTTCCGTGCAAGCCGAGCTTATTTCGCTCGGTTACTACTGTTTTGGATCCTGGTGAGAGTTTTAACCCGGGTTGAAAATCCCAACCCTGGTCTGCAGCAGGGTTGAGTTCAACCCGGGGTGAAATCAATCTGAGGGTTGACACAGGGTTGACAATTTTCAAGTGTGAAACGCTGCATGTTTTCAACCCTGTGTCAACCCCGTGTTTCCCTTCAAGATTTGTCTAGTGTGAATAAGGCTCTACTATGGGGTTAGGGCTAAGTTTTTTGGTACTGTTTTATTGTCACTGAGCTGTAGGTATCGCCCAAACATTTTCCATTAAGACCTTTTAAAAGTGGGTTTTAAGAAATAAAGAAATACAACAAATATTTATAATTTAATTTTTGTTTACCTTTTCTGCTTCTCCAGACGTCTTCAATGCTTCTAGTTGTTTTCTTGTCTGTTCCAGCTTCACTTTTGATCTGATTCGAAAATCAACCCAAACAAAATATAAGGATGCTAAGAACGAAATGTCAAAGTTCACTATAAAATATGAAAATTAAACCCTTTATTTACGAGGATTTGTTTTGTTTTCCCATGCAGCCTGGCTTTCATTCTGAAAATTCCCCCCAACTGACATTCACAGCTTTGTTTTTCATTGTCCGAGTCAGGTGTGCATGCCAATGCACTCCAGCAGAAGTGCATTGGAGGATTCTTTGACGCGCCAGCCAAGTGATTTTACAACAGACATAACAGACTTGTTTACTTTGGTCTCATTGTTTTATTGTTGACCAAAGAGTTTCCTCACAGCATGGCCCAGCTTTCTGTCAATACTCTTTGGCAGTTCTTGGAGTGTACTGTGGTTTACCCCCAAAGTACAGCGGCAGATATTGGAGGGCTGTGCAAAAAACATGGACGAGTCACTTTTTTTAAATACTGAAGTGATTCCGAGGATCAGGTAGAGAAATTGTTAAAGGGGATATACATCATTGGCTTTTGCTGTCATTTTCAGAAATGAATTATTTGAGGGGTTAGTATAATAGATCAAATATTGTTACACAGATAGCGTTTGAAGTTTTGTGTTCGAAAATGCTGGAAAAACCAAAAACACAAAACTGTTCAAGTAGTCTGGTTCCCTGACTCCACTAAATATAAAATGGATCAATTTACAGATGCCGGAAAATTGTAAGGTAAGGGTACCAGTCTAGCTGGCCTGCACCCGTTCATGAACATGTAACCAATAGCAAACACAATTTGGACTGAATTAATGGTAAATTTGAAGCAGTAGTTGAAAAATAGTTAGGTTTTTCCAACGGTGGTCGGCCGACCACCGTTGGAAATGTATACAAAAATACCATTTTCTTGAAAATGACTTCACACCAGGTGCCATAATTTTACAGGATGCTTTAGACTGTCATTTACCAACATCCTATTAAGGTATTTCGTAAAAACTTGGTAGTTTTATTTTTCGATGTTTGCAAATGTTGTATATTCCCTTTAAAGTACCGGATCCCATAATCTGGAACCAATTCCTGACATCAACGGTCGGGTACTCTGGTATCCGGTTCCGATACACAGCCCCACACATACCATCAGTACAATACTTGCATCTAAATGCTGAATTCTACTACACAAATTCTCACTCTTAAATGAGACCCAAAAAATGAGAACTGTTCAATTTTTGTAAGGCCAAGTAAACAAAACACAAGTTTAGGGTCCTGCTTTTTGAAGATAAGGAAGGAGGCCTTTCTTTTTTTCCTTCCAAAATGGTCGCCCGACCGGGCTATTTTTCAAGATGGCCGCTAGCTGTTTTTTTAAAATATGGCCGCCACTTGGACACAGGATTGACATATCAGCTTTATATGGGCTAGATGCAACAGACAAAGAGGTCAAAATGATGTCACTGTTGAAAATATATCATTTTTTCGTGTGAAAAAAAAGAAGAAAAAAAGGAAGCTGCCTCCAAACAAAAAGGAAGCGGGCGGGGACGCTTAACATGTTTTGTTTTTTATTTAGCCTAAGCACTCACTGCAGTGACTGAGATTCCACGGCCTCCTTTTCCTTTTTTGCCTCTTCCATTCTGTCCACCCTGGCCTGATGTCTCCATCTGAACAGGCTGGGTGTGTCAATGTTGGGATGGGTCTCATCCTCATCATCGGAGACCTGCGGATTTAGGGGGAAAAAAGTACATGTATAGGCCTACTTTCAAAAGGTTTGTCAAGTCCAACTAACACGTGTCTGCATATTCAGATCTAGGCTTGCCAGTACATGTACAAGTTTGTCATTTTTCGAGGGAAATTTGGGGGTAAAATGACGATGACAGCGCGGCGACAACACACGCGACCCAAAAATAAAGATGGCGATCACCGCGCTTTGTACTGTGAGCACACACGGCAATCACAAGGCACAAACCGCGCAGGAAATTCGTGATTTCTACCCCAAGAATCTGTTCAAAATTGCAAAACGGGTGTCATTAGAATTGAGAAAAGTCTGCTTTTGATTGTAAAGACTAAAGGTGATTTTTGAGCAATAAAATTAAAAACATTTTGGACTCTAATTTGATCAAAACAAAACAGGGGCCCTACACTACACGATCGCCCATACCTGCATGTTCTAAAATGTCGTCAACTAGTTCAAAATAAATTAAATGTGGATTTGCTTTCTAGGGAAACGGGCCCGTAACTACACGATCTCCAATTGTTGATTGTAAGTCGCATTTCGAAATCTAGGCCCTACTTGTCCGGATATTGGGCAGGCTTATATTGATAATTAGTGCCCCGTTTTCACACCACAATTTCACAATAATTAAGTAATCTGTTGCCGAGGATCTCACTCCCTAGAATAATACACCAAAGAGCAATAAAACGTTGAAAGAAACAAAAAAAACACAACATTTTTACCTCGATGTTGTCCCACTTGCTGTAGTCCACCATTTTGACTTCTAGTGTCGGATACAAGTCTGTTGCATGTCGCATTCCAATCAAGTGGACATTTTACGTCGTACAATATGTGCATGTACGTACGTACGGCACGGATGTAATCGATACATGAAACAGTCTTAGGGAAATTCGAGAAAATTCTAGTCTTTGTATTCAGTCAAAGATATATAAAAATAATTAATGAGCATAGAAAGTGCGAAATTACAGGGGATTTCCTACAATGGGAAATGGGAAACAAACCAAACATATTTTGACCAATTGTAGGCGGGGGTTCATGCGGGATCGGGGGAGGGGGGGGGGGAGGGGATGTTTGCTTCGTGTAATTGAAAAAAATGTCTTCTCATATGACCGAAACCGCAAAAACCAGTCGACAGCTTAAAAAACCTGAAAAGTGAGGGCATTTGTTTCCAATAAAGTTATAATCTCCTAGCGCTTTAATCAATTTGACTTAAAAATTTATATTCTGTAATCAAAATGTCCTTTGTAAAATCTGTTATTTCTTCCATTTGTACCTTTACTTGCTTAAATATATTAAATGTACTTTCAAATTTGAATAGGATTTCATCCGCTCTATAATTTTGTTTGTTTGTTACTTTACTCCATTTATGCAACGTTGCTATAAATTTTAAAGGAAACAAAACATCGACACACACAAACAGGCAAATAAGGCGAGATGTTTCCGCGTGCAAACTTTTTGAATATCTTTTATTGTACAATTCTTATTTTACATAATTACTCCTTCAGATGATTTTATTTTATTACACAACTCTGCAGAGCCCAAAAATGTCAGTTTATTTACAAGAGCCAACAGAATTGACAAAAACTTGCCATTGAAAACCCGCCCCCGCTCATTTCAAGGAAGTTATTGCAGCCCTTAATAAAAATAATTAAATGAGATTCATTTTTAAATGAAATTGTCAATTTTATAATTCTGTCCAGCTCTTGACCCCTCGTCCTTTCCTAACCCCTTAAAAAAAAGAGGAACATTCATTATTTTGCATTACTTTTCATCAATTCTTCAAAAAGTTCCTAAAGATTGTCCACAAACATAGTAGGTACTCAAAATATGTTTTTGGTTTTACACAAGAAAGTCTACACCTTTACTTTCACAACTGCACAATTATTGTGAATTAGGGCTACTGACAGAAAAAAAAATGCAAAGTTGAAGTGAGATTTGAAGTTTTTAGCAATCTTTTCAAAATTTTCGGATTTTTGAGACCGATTGGAAATTTGTAATGGCAAAGATTTTTATTTAAGTGTATGTAAACTGAGAAACCAATATGTTTTTACCACTAAAAATACAATACACAGAAAATGTAAAGCGATATTTTATATATTTTTAGCTGCTTCAAGTTACAGATATAATATAGATTGACAAACAAAAATATTTAAACAAAAACTTCTCTTTCGTCAAAAATTTAGCAACACTATTTGAAGGCAAACCCTTTTTCAACAAAGGTAAGGACTTTAATACATGTAGCAATTCTGTATGAAACACACAAACAAATATCATACATCCAAATTCTTTTTTTTGTTGGATCCAATTTTAGGAAAAAGAAAGTAGCAAATATCAAAATATTGGTTGTTTAACTTTGATTAAACAGAGCATTAATTAAGTTCAAATTTGGACGTCTTAAGGATTTGGCTGTTTCATTAAGTTTGAAATATAGACTTACAAATAAAACCTTGAAAAAGTGAACTAAAAGTACGACAGGTTGTTTTTCTTGTGTTTTCTTCATATACAAAATGTAGTTGGTTTGTGTTAATATAATACATGTCATATCTTTAAATCAAATATTTTATTTTGATTAAAAAAAACAAAATATCGAAATTGCCCATTCGAGGGAAATAAGTAGGGGGCTGTTTGACAATGATGTCACTAAGCAGACCACAATATGGGATACAAATTTCAAAATGATTTTACTGAATTTTCGCGCATTCAAATATTGACAAAATCATTCTAGCTTTTAAGCTAGAGCATGTTTCTGTTTTAGTTCTATGAAGAGATTGCTGATCTAAAACCAATGGGTGGAGAAAGTAAGTAAAAAGTAAAGTCTGTCACGAGACAATGTGGCTCATCAGGCCGGTGTTTATCTCCGGTTTCAGTAGCATGACGACTGAGAATATATTTCTATTCCCCCTGGATGGGACGCCAGTCCATCGCAGGTTACTCCCAAGCTAATGCCGGTACCCATTTATACTCCTGGGTGGAAAGAGGCAAGTGGGTGTAAAGTAGCTTGCTCAAGGACACAACATATGGCCAGCAGCTGGATTCGAACCCATGAGCCTCTGATCATGGCCACACTCCACACAATTGGTGGCGTAGATGCATGTATCAAATTTACAAAAGTCCCCCCCCCCCCCATTCAAAAAGAGTCTTCGCACGCTACCACTGTACTAATGTAGGTACATGTATAGGTAAAATGCTAACTTAAGGAGAAAATTTGTACAAACCTTAATAAAGTGAGCATTGTATCTGAGTGTAATTTACAGAATATGAACTTTAAGCTGGGAAAATGATGACAATATGCCTGCATTTTAATATATTTGCTAACTTGAAACGATTCTCGCTTTAGATGAATGTATATATATACTTTGAAATAATATAGCATTTTGTATTATTTATTTTTTAAAGAACATAGAAATAACATGTTTTTTTTTTGCACTGTTACTGTCTGGTTCCCTGCAGAAAGGGCACAAATGTAAGGTATAGATGACCAAGCACCTGACTACACTTCACTGTTAATAATAAAAGCCTTATTGACTTTTCACAGACTCAGGAAGGAATAGGTACAGATAGATTGCGAAAACAACTTTACAAAAACTATATTTTTTTCTCTTCCAAGATTATGGCCATGTGTGACTCCAATAAGCCAGTACGGTATTTCAACTGCGCATACGCACTATGATATGGGTCAGGGGTCATTTGGGGTAATCAAACGCTCATCGAAGGTGCTGCACGCGCACGGAGATGGGCGCAAGACACTCCCGTGTTAATTACAAGCAAAATGGGCGTCTGCGTAACATCGCGTATCATCACGTCAGCGATTTTATCCCGAATGACCTTTGACATGGACTACTGCATCGAGATACCAAACTGGCTTATTGTTCTGAGTAAGGTGTGAAAATCCTTTTTAAAATAATAAACTGCAAATGATGTTAATATATTTACATCCTCATCAAAGCTAAAGGCTTTTCTGCCTTTTCGGTAGCAGCCCAAAACGTGCAAATCGAGGGGGCATGTCTTACCCCTACTTGGGGGTGAGGGTGCCAACTTGGCACCCAAATTTGACAATGAGGGGTAAAGCTGCGACCCAATTTGACTGAGAAAGGGAAAGTCTGCCCCCCTATTCAACCTTGAGGGGCCAGCTCTGTGCCCCTACTTTACTAAAATGGGGCCTTTGAATCCCTACTTCACAATAAGGGGCAAACCTTTGCGCCCCTGCTTGATCTTGAGGGGCAAACCTTTGCGCCCCTATTGGATCATGAGGGGAAAATCTTTGGCCCCCCCCCCCATTAAATCATGAGGGACACCTTTGCACCATGAGGGGCAAACCTTTGTGCCCCTATTTGATCATGAAATGGGCAACTCTGCACCCCATTTCGGGAAGGGGGGGGGTTTCAATAAAAAAAATTATGTACATGTATTCCTTTTTGGCAGTCCTTATCCCCTTCTTATAGAGGGGACCTGCCTACATCACCAGAATTGTAGTGTTTGCTTATTAATATTTATAGACTGAGGACAACAAAAAATGCTTGAAATTATTCATCCTGAATTACTGTCATATAGCAGGCTGTTTTCATCTCCCAATTTCTCGTGTCTCGTATGATGTTCATCACTCATTGCATAGTCATATCACACATTAACAGTACGTACATGTACATCACTCAAACAGAACTTGTCACTTATCGAGGGTTAACAAATAAAGATGGCATTCGGTACAATGAGTAATACCTTCTTTAATGATGCGATTGCCGATGAAATTATCTATTATTGCTAAAGATGGACAGAAGATGCTTTACATTTGGGTACATTCTTTAGTCCACAAAACTTGTAAGCGACAAAGAAATGTTACATTCAATGACAAATTTCTACTGTTTAAGAAAACTCAAGAAAAAAAACCCTTTCAATCAGACACATAATTGTATGCTCGACTTCTGCAGCGCTCAGATCTGAAAATTCAGTCAAATCACCAACTTCCATAAACCCAAACCATGTGAATGCAGTGGCACCTTCGAATTCGTGGGCGACTTTACCTTTCATTTACATTGGTAAAGATGTCAAAACAAAAAAAATTCGTAGTTTTACACAAGTATGATTGCACTTTGCACATTTACTTCAGGGCACTGCAGCAACTAAGCCAATATAACAGCTTGACATCCAATGTGTATCATTTTAATTTAAAGCACCGGAACAGCAATCCGGAGGTCGCAGGTTCAAACCCCGCTCCAGTCAATTTCTTTGTTCAACTTTAAAGTTATTATAATGCACCAAATCAGTTTCCCATTGTGGTGTATCAAATGAAAATTGGTTTCAATTTCAGTGAATTGAAGTACAGTGGAATCTCAGGAAGAAAAAAAAAATCTCAGCGAAATTGGCTCAAATTAGCAGAGTTTTGAGTTATCCAATGGATTTTCTATTCAACAACAATTGATGGAATAAGTTTTTACTTTGAGTTAGAAGGGTTTTTGAGTTCACAGGTTTTGACTTAGGCCAAAAAAAAAAATAGTTCTGCTTCCGATTACATGTCTTTCAAAAATAGGGTCGGTCGGTCGGAATTTTTTTTTTTTTTGCCATTTTTTTTTATGCAGATTGAATGGGGTATTCAACTATATGCGAAGTTTTAGCCTGAACTATTTCTATTGCACTACGAAAGCTATACACAAAATGGCCACAAAAAGTGAATAAAACCTACCTTAATTATTGTCAATATATTTAAGTTCGATAATTCGTAAAAAAAATTGTGGGAAATTCAGGTCGTTCGCACCATAGGCACAACGCTAGTCAAGAACGGGAGCTGGCCAAAACTCCGAAGTGTGTGATGCACTGTACATGTACATTTGTACATGTGTGGCCCGCGGCCAACGGGTCGAACATTTCAGGAAACACGCTGCATTGTATCACTCCAAATACGAGTAGTGCGATCTCAAAATGAACTCTTGAACACGGAAAATACATACACAGACAAGCTAGATCAAATCTGTGAATTAACTTGCAAAAATGTTCTTTCTCCATCGGTGTTTTCTTGGCATTTTTACGATGTCTTTCTCAGCATTTTTACGATGTCGATTCCGACCAGTTGACAGAGCACGTGCCTGCGCCTGCATAGCCATGCTAGCGCTAACATCGCATAGCCGTGCACAGACTAGTTACCGCATTTTCATAATTGGCTCCTGCGCGGCGCGGCGGGAACCAGTCGTCGCCGCATTGCGCTTATTACGCACGTGATTATAGACATCGAATTGCGAAGTAGTTGAATCGCGCAGCGAATTTGTAAAAATAACGGAGGTTTCTTTTGAAAAAATAGCGAATGTAAGTAAGAAAACAATAAATACAAGCATATTTTGATGCAAAAGGGTTGTTGAGAGGTATTTTGTGAAGACAGACAAGACAAGGTTTTTATTTTTATTTATTCAATCTTTTTTTTTTTTTTTTTTTGGAATTGCCGATAAATTTTTTAGGGTCGCAGCCTAAAAATAGGGTCGGTCGGGTAACCGGAAGCAGAACTATTCTTTTTTTTGGCCTTAACGAGATTTCACTGTAATCGTATCAAAAGTAGTCGAGGAGTTAAGGCAGTTTTAATGCTAATCATTTGCAGACCCATTTTTGTTTTGGTAAGATTTAAGTCCCGTTCTAGACACCGTGTTACTGCCATGCCGAACTACATTAATTTAACTCTTTTGAATTTGGCTAGGCGATACCACGGTGTTTAGAACTATTTTGGCTTGGCAAATTCACTTCAGCACGACACAGCCCTTTAGGGCGACCGGGCTGTTGCGCTATCGCCGTTCTGAGTGGCAGTGGCGCGGCACTGTTCTAAACGCCATGCATTGCCGTGCCGAAATCAATTCATTTCTGGTGCCACATCTACAAAATCTGGTCCATTTTACCCTTTTATTGGTTGAAGGTTCACAATCTTCACTTAGGCATGCGCAATACTACCAATGAGTCCATATTTCGAGAATCCTAAATTCACGCTACACCGGCACCACCACGTTCTGCGCCAATCTCCATATAAGGAGATGTCTTCGAACGACTCGCGAGAGGCACATACCATAACATAGCTAGAGGGGTGTTTACAAAAACATGAAGTAAAATTGCTGAACAAAATCGTTGGAAATTTATAAATTTTGACTTGGGTTGACTTTTTGACTCGCTGATATTTATGAATGGGAATAAATATGTGCTTGGCTGGTATTAAACAAGTACATTTAAAACCGGCTCTGGGTCTGGTCGCCGATATGTCCAGCATCCAGGCTCCTGAGCCGGTTTTAAACGTACTTGTTTGAAACCGGCCAAGCAAACATTTATTCCCTTATTTAACACATTAGGAAATGTACTACATTGTATTACATTGTGTTTATTCACAGACGAATTCATAAAATCATAGAGTGCTCGAGCAGTTTCGGGCACTAATACTAGACTGGGTGACTAAAGAGTTACAAATGTAAGTATAATGGGCCAACACTGGTTAAGAAGTGAAACGAAACCTGCGTATTGCCATGTCTTGTTTGAAGTCTAGATCCCTGATCCGTATCCCTTTCTGTGCTATGTATGAGAGGTAGTCTGTCACCCGGATTGCCTGGATTATTGAGACTCATCTGTACTTCACGTTGAATTGGACAGGTCCGTGTAGATCTTGAGGGCCCGCTCTTTGCGTGGGGAGGGGTAGTTTGGCTTCTGGCTCGTCTTCTCCAAACGGGAGTTCTCCTTCTTCTGGATGTCCTGTTTTTCTTCCTCGGTGAGTTCTTTGAGATCTTCTGATCCGTCGCTAGGATTAAACAAACATTTTAAATAAGTCAGAGACATCATTCCTTAAGAACAGCATGTTCCAATTCGGGCGATTCCCAATACAGTGCGCCACCAAGAAGTTGCCAAGGAGAGTCCATTTTTCGCAGTGCATTGTGGGAAACAGTCGACAAATTCGCCATGCTACGGGACACTTAAAACTCCTAGTTTGTCCAGTCAATACTTTCGTTTTATCAAGATGGTGTTTTCTGTGAGGCAGCAGAATGCTATGCCCCGATCTATCAAAGATTTGTTCAAGTTATCCATTGACATTCGTTCAAATCGTGGCAAATCGGCCATGTTTTTGTCGACCGTAAACTTGAAAACTGGACTCTTCGTGGCAACCTATTGGTGGCGCACTGTATTGGGAATCGCCCGTATTTGAAAATGTTTTAGTAATTTAAACATTCCAATAGGAATTGCTGTGCTTCAGAATAGAGCTTTATGAAGGGAAGGGGAACATTAGAAACAACTTTTGGGGTCAACTTTTCCCTCAACTTCTTGTCCGGAGGTAGTCAACAAAGCAAACAAATTTTGATCGATACTATCATAGAATTTCCCCTCAAACCATGCTGTACAATTACACTTCTACCCTACAGAGTAGCCGTGTTTGTTTTGCACTGTGGCACATTTCTCACCTTCCACCCTGGTGAACCAGGCTCAAATCCAAACCACGTTTGTTAAACAATCATGAATTTTTATATTTAATTTTTTTTTTTTATATTTAATGCATAATAATGGAATTGTTGCGTTGGGGTAATGTGAATCAAATTAGGTTTTGACTTTCACCGGCGTATAAACACTGTATACTCAGTGTGTTACCTCCCGAGTGAAAGTTGGAAAAAATCACTCGGGTGAGACTCCAACCCACGACCTCCTGCTTTCTAGTGCAGATGTCTTACCACTCGACCATCGAGCTAATGGGATCGGTTGGCTGGTTCAAATCTGATGCACATAGCAGCGGGTACCACATTAACTATTCATAATATGGAATTTTTGCGTCGGGGTGATGTGAATCACCCTTATTTTCTTTATTTTTATATTTTTGTCTTGGTATGAGTTATCAAAATATATAAACTGTATTCGAGGGTTTATGAAATTATGGAAACACTGAACACGAGTGAAGGGCCCTCTATTGAAGACAACTTTGTCATCTGTTTAAGTGTTATTTCTGTTAAAAGAGCAGTTTTTCTAATGTAATTTTTATAAAAAATTCGCTGCAACAATTTTTTTCCTTTTGTATGGGAAATTTATTTCCTTAACATCAACAGAGTACACGATTAGTACACATAGGAGGAACGACACCTCGGCTGATGATAATAGTAATAACAATGACTTACCAGTAGTAGACAACTGCACCGTCATCACTGATATACAGTGGCCATGAGTTGAGGGATGTCACGTTGGGGTTCCATTCCAAATCCGTCTGCATCTCAAGCAGCGAGACTTCACAGGGGAAAGTCCCTTTGCCTTTGGCAAAACAGACGTTCTCTTGGCTGATGCCGCTTCGACTAGATAGCTGTTACAAAATAAACGATCAAATCAAAGAACGAAGAGATGACAAACGCATGCAGATGTGGTTACTCTTCAGATAAGAAATTTTAATTTTTTTTTAAAAGCTGGCACCCGATTTAGACTTGCGGTCAAATTATTCTGAAGATAGCATTTTGTCGACGGTAACTTTTTTCGACAGCAGTTCATTGTTCCTATCCTTTTAGCAGGTTAAAGTCCTTGACAGATATAAAATACTTCCTGCAAAACACTCCCTATTGATTGCAACATGCATGTTTTAATTGGCATGCTCTGCATGCAAATATTGAATATCCAAATATTCAATCAAACACAGTTTCGAGTAATCGATTACTAAATTATTCGAAATCAGACAGCCCTAGTTTATTTGAAGGCTTCTTGCTGGGTCTTACAAATGAAGATTGGAGATACTTAGTTCTCAGTACAATGTCAACCATTTCAGAAAAACCAGAAGACGGTTACAGTCACTAATCCTACCTCTTTCTTGAGGTCATCGACAGTGCAATCCGTGAGGATGATCTCTTCGAAAGGGTCCAGCTTGAACTCCGAGGGCCGCCATCTTCTGACAAACAACTCCAGATGATTCGGGTCAGTGACCGGCTCTGGGCCTGAACATGTGGGGAAAATAAACCAATCAATTGGCCTTATTCTTGTGTGAATAGGATCATTGCAGTGGATTTGAATCCAGCTGCTGGCCATATGTTGTGTCCATAGGCAAGCCACTTCACCCCCACTTGCCTCTCTCCACCCAGGAGTATAAATGGGTACTGGCATTAGCTGGGGAGTAACCTGCGATGGACTGGCGTCCCATCCAGAAGGAATAGAAATATTCTCAGTCGTTTCATGCTTCTGAAACCGGAGATAAACGCCAGCTTGATGGGCACATTGGCTCGAGACAGACTTTACTGATGAAGACATAACAAAAAATCTATCAGCAAGACTTACAGTCCAGAATCTCGACGAAGACCTCCCAGTTGGTGAAGATGGGGATGTCTTCTTCGTACAGCTGAGTGTCGGCATAGATGGCACCTGGGTTCTTCCAGGCTTTCTTCCGCAGTCTCAGCCTGTTGAGGGGCACGTCTATCAGACACTTGGCCTTCAGCTCGGGCAGGAGCTCCGTCTTGGATTGCTGGACAGACATGCCCTTGGCAAAGACCCAATCAAAGAGATACTTGCAGGGCTGGGGGGAGAAATTGATTATGGACAGAGTTAGGCATTACAAAATTAAATCTATGACAAAAACAAGACAGGGCTTGCTTTAAGCCGGGTAAAAAAGTTTGGCAGCCGATCATTCTCAGCTTTGAAGTACACCTACGGCAAAGTCAAGTACTTCAAGTTTTAGGCAGTTTAGACCTGGTGTGAGACACTGGCAGAAGACCTCTGACTGTCAAACCTCGCCAATGTGGATGTCAGGAATCGGACTGCATGGAACAGGGCCATTAAGGAAAGACGTCTCACCCCACAGCGTGGGGAAAATGGACGTTAAATGGAAATGGTGACTTCGTAAGTCAGTAGCTTAGCTAGGGAACTAGTTTGTTAATTTTCGATACCGAGGGGAGCTAAAATTAACAATCTACTGGAAATAGACCATGTCATATTTGTTTTTACTATATTTCATGTATATTCACCAAAATTTTATCAAACTCTGCATGAGTTATCTCTGCAAAATGTCACTGTGTGTGCGCTTCCATCTTTTCATGTAGCTAGCCAGGGCAATGTTCGTGTGTGCGCACTAGCCCGTGGGATAGTTCCACGATTGCTAAGTAAAGTGCATGAATTGTGTAGTATCGACTATCGCATAGGTACATGTGATAGTTGTCCGTACATGCGTATTTGCGCTGTGCGTGAATCTTTGCGTGTGTCCTAAATAGCGAAGCTAAGCTGCTGACTCGTAATTGCCAATTGACCAATAAGAATTTGGCTCTTGCTCATGAATATGTATGAGGTATACTACTATATAAATGAATATGCATAATCACCTCTGAGCTGTTGGCGCTGAGCTGGTAGATCTTGACTCTGTACTCTCCTTTCTTCAGAGCTCGGCCCAGTTTGACCACCACTCGGCTGTCCTCACTGTAAGACTGCAACGTCTCCGTCAGTCGGATACTCTCAAACTCCTGATTGTTGGCATAAACCCTGTAGACCTGGTGGTTGTATGGAGAAACAATGATGAAACTGGCATACGCAAAAAAAAAATCAGAAAAAAGGCCGAACAAAAATACATGTCTGAAATCTGGGCCGCGCTGCAGTTACACATGTACATGTTTGTACAATACACTTCATGCCCAATTTCCGGACACAGCCTCCTGTTTTATTTAAGATCAAAAAAAAAAACCCATGAGAAAAATGTTCAGCGTTTCCGTGAAATTAAAAAGCCTGAATTAAGGTTAGTAACATACTCATCAAAGACAAGAGCGACAGTAATGAAACCATTCAACCAAATTACACTAACACACTGTACGTGGGAAAAATCGGGCATCATCGTCTTTTTCTTTCAACAACTGCCAGTGAAATGTATCACTTATGTTCTCTTTGCCATCCTCAAGATAATCATCGTGAATTTTAAAGCATTGCATGTTGTGCAACTAAATCTCAAACCTCCGAAAATCGCACATGTTGGATTTTCTCTATTGGATTGTTCGTTTCAACAAATCACAAGTAAATATTTCCAAGTGCCAGCACACTCTTCAAAACCACAATCAATGATCACGAAAGTTGACCCCTTACCTTGAAATTCTGTGATTCTGTCCCAACATAGGGTTCCAGTGCCTTCTTGAAGACTGCTAGAGACATCCGTTTATCCACATACACAGGCATTACTACAAAGGCAAAAATACTGGAAGTTAAACTTGGGCGATCCCCCTGGCATGCTAGCAGTATTTATACAGTCGGTTAGTGAGCACACTTTTCAGTGTATCTAACTAAAATCAACAATGACCTCATTTGGCTCCTAGATGACCTTTGACCTCAAATGTCTCAAGTCATCTGAAGTCCCTCTACCCAAAGATTATTGTCACTAAGTTTGGTTGAGATTGAAGTCTGACTTTTCATACAACACTTTTCAGTTTACCTAACCACAAACACCAATGACCTCATTTGACCCCTAGATGACCTTTGACCTCAGATGTCTCAAGTCATCCGAGGTCCCCCTACCCAAAGATTATTGTCACTAAGTTTGGTCGAGATTGAAGTCTGACTTTTCATACAACACTTTTCAGTTGACCTAACCAAAAAACACCAATGACCTCATTTGACCCCTAGATGACCTTTGACCTCAAATGTCTAAAGTCATCTGAAGTCCCCATACCCAAAGATTATTGTCACCAAGTCTGGTTGAGATTTTCATATGACAGCACTAAACAGCTAACCTAACCAAAACGGAGCACACGTACACACGGACAGAAAGAATACACTATTGCAAGATCCTCCTTTCTTGGCAATGAAAGCCAGGGGGATAAAAAAATGTAAATGTTGTTCTGAACTCCGTAACTTAGGAAACTTCCTGAGTCCTTTCCAGATTCAACCCTTTGCAGGATCCAAATGGCAAATTCTATGAAAAAAATACAGCGCTGCAGGCTAGTCAATCACAAGTCATATTAAGAGCAAGGTCAGTAGGGAATGAACAATGACAAAGAATAGCTCACTGCTTGACTTAAGACTCGATGCCTTGTGTTTGAATTTTGATTGAATTGTGAGGACCGTCCAAGATGAAAACAGAACGACCATTTTAGGACATATTTCTAAAGGAATTAGCATTGATGGATTGCTATTTACATCTTGAATTGTCAACCGTCTGTATGGGCTCCGCCTTGAAGTACCAGTTTGACATTTTCGTGTGCCGGGTGTTTTCGTAAATCTCATCCTCAGAGTCTTCGTTGGGGTCTTCGTACTTGATCACACTGCCCCGGGTCTCACCCCCTGCCCCTGGGTCCGTATCACTGGGTATGCTACCCGATTTGTTGTCCGACGTGGTGGTCATCGGGGAGCTGATGGAGGACAGGGGTGAGAGCGGGGAGGAGACCGCACCTGAGCTTTGGTCCGAGTTCCCCCGCTGGAGTTTGCTGCAGTCGCCGCAGCCTCTCCCCTCGCACCAGCATGGGTCGGACGTCGCGTCAACGGTTCCGCTTTGTGATTGCACGTCTCTTTCTGGAATGTGAACATCTCCGACGTCCTCCGACCTCGTCGGGTTAGCGGGACTGGCATCTCCATCAACAGCGCCCTCGGGGCTGCCGCGCAGCTCGCCGCTGTTGCCGTCATTGTCGCCGCTCAGATCGTCGTGGGTCCGGCCGTCGTTCAGCGACACCACACCACTATCTGTTTCGCTGCCGAGAAGGTTGGCGCTGTTCTTGTCCAGCGGGTGGTCGTCACTGAGCGTCGAGGAGCTGCCCGTGGGGCTAGGGGTGGGCGCCGTGTTCATGGCAATGTCCGTCTCCAGTTGGAGATCGTTGTATTTCTCATCTGTTGAGGAGGTGAGGGAGGGGCAAGGCGACACACTGTTGCTGTTGCTTTTTGGTGGCTTGAACTCGTCTGTGAAACAAATGTAAGATCAAAGGGAACAAATGGGTATTCAGAGGCAGTTGGTTCCAATCCAGCAGAGCTGTATTCAAAGCCTCACATGTCAATCACATGTCAATCACATGTCAATCACAAGTCAATGACAAGTCAATCACATGCTAAGCACGTGTCAACCACACGTCAATCACATGCAATCTCATGTCCATCTCATGTCATCCAGTCTGAAGTCAACTTAAAATAGTATACAAATATTGAGTGGCTCAGAGTGAAATGGGAGGAATATTATCACAAGGTAAAATCAAGTCCAGATTTACCAAGTCCAGATTAACAAGGTAAAATCTGCACTTTTCCAGTTCACGAGACGAAGCCGAGTGAAATGGAAAAGTCCAGATTTACCAAGCGATAATATTCCTCCCATGTCACAATTTAAAGCCACTCAATATTTGTTTTATATAACTAACATATAAATCCTTGTCATTTGATATTCTTGATATCTTAGTTCAACACAAAATTGGTGGAAAATGTATTTCTCTCTTCCAAACCACCCCTTCTTGAAAAAGTTTGAACCCCACTCTGTGGCGCTGGCTCCTTGAACTATACGCGCTATGCCCAACGCTGAACGCGCACACCAGCATGCATTTGCACTCAAATACCGCATCATGGAACAACAATGATCCTAATTGTTGAATAGTATTTCCCATTCCCCATGGGCGAATGGGACTTTTTGAGCCCCGGCGTGAATGGGAGTAATAACGAATGTCATGTGATGTGAGTTCCACCAATCAAATGATAAGGATCTGTATGTCGGTTATAAAAAGGCATTTATTTGTCACTGCTCATCCTTGGTACATTTGACTTGCTAAAGTAGTTGCATTTTAATAGTCTCCAATATTCATTACGGCTCAGATAAAGTTAGACGACAATTAATGTGTAATAACTATAACTTTGTGTCCTCAGCAGCAAGAAAAGTATAAAGGTTAATAACATAATAAAGATAAGACAATCACAAAGAGGCTTTACCTTGATAGAATAGTGGTAGAGTCACCTGTAGTCTTATCGTATTTGCATTTCTGTCCAGCAGTTGATAGAGTTTTGAATCCATAAAAGGGACCCGTTTGTCTTCAATATTGCTGCTCTCAACAAAAACCTGATACAAAAAAAAAGAATCAAAAAGTTCTTATTGGGAACATGCATTCATGTATATGCCAAAAAAGTTTAATGAATGCTTACATGGTGATGTCAGTGTGGACAGTTGTTAAACTGTACTGCCAACTTACATACCCAAAGTAAACATTCCAAAGAAAATTTTGTCTCATGGACCCTTTTAAAAATTATGACTGTACAATTGTCCGTGATCCATATTTCAATATTTACTTCTAACTGAAGACTAATCGCAGTCTAACTTGGACTTAATGGCAGAAACGTTTCATCATTTACGGGATGCGTACCCACCTTATTGCTTTTTAAGAAGCCTTCGTTTTTCAGCGTCTTGTGTCCGCTGACCAGCGGCTTCAGGTCATTGTAGTATTTCTCCCAAACAACTCGCATTGTTTCCACTTTGAGGCCTGTAACCTATTCAAAAAAAAAATCTTCAAGTATATATTTGTGCAATTCCATGAGAATGTGGACATGGCTGAAAAACGGAAAATTAATGAAATCTTCAGAACTACAAGCATCACGACCTCACATTCTGTATCAAATTAAAGGGAAGGTTCCAACTTCAAATACAGTGGAACGCCGCTATAACGAACATCGCGGGATCCACAGAAAATGTTCGTAATAGCGATCGTTCGGTATAGCGATTTTGAGATGCCGGTGCTCCAGTACTCACTTTTCAATAAATGGCGCCCTGGTAGTTACTGAAAGACGACTTTGAACACATGCCGACTATTGAATAATGTAATTACACAGTTTTGAGCTTACTACCTACATCGATGGGTGGCTTTCCCCTTCTATGCCTTGGGAAATAATAGCCACTTTCGCTTTTCTGTTGACGGTTTTCAACACCAATGTTCGGTTGGTTTTGTACACAAAATTCGGGTGCCAAGGACAATGTTCGGTATAGCCGACTGTACGGTATAGCAGTGTTCGGTATAGCGACGTTCCACTGTACCTTCTAAAGCAGTCAAGATTGTCGCCCAAACTCACCTCTGCAATCTGGGTTTTGAAGTCCTGGATGGTCGTGTTGACGTAGGACCTCAAGCTGATAGGATTGGCGATGGTCTCTGCCTCAAGATCCACCACAAACAGCTTGTTGGTGACTCCTGGCGACGAAAAGATAAACAAAATTTTAGCATCTGCAGGAGCAAAGTCAAAATATTCGCAATGAAACCTAGAAATGCAATGCATAAGAGCTATGATGAGAGATTGGATGAATGAAAGTTAGACCTTTGGGTGCTCAAGGAACTAACTCACTATTATTTCTGACCATCAGGACTATATGATATCAGTGCATCTGCAGTGAAAACAGCTGGCATTTTAATCCTCTACACCCTTGCATGAAAGAAATACATATATTTGACATCTGCCATTCAATCCAAAATGGATGGGAGGGTGCACAACAGTCACGTGTGGCGGGGATCGCTGCGGAGACCGCGGGTCGCAACATTATCAGTACCACGATCATTGGACCACCTGAAAAGACGCTGCCGAGAGACAAGGAAAAGAAATGACGGAGCACTTTTTATGACAAACTTGACATTTAGCTCACAATTTCGCAAGCTGCACGTGCGCGCTGGCACAAAGGTCGTATGTAGAGGTCTCCAGGCATGCGCATTGCCTTGGCTATTGCACGGACAGTTGTACAATAAACAGTGACCATTTCAGTTTCACACGATCGTTTGTCATGGACACATTGAGAAATCTTCCGCTAGCGGAAGATTTTGTCATAGGTCCGGACCTCCTCCACGATATCTGAAGAATTGAGATAAAGTCACCATGCATGCTGGTCACTCTCACTCAAGCAGTGGTGTCCTTTCACATGATGGCACTTTTGTAAGATTTCTCAAGCATGAGAAAATGTCTCAAGCCTTGGCTTTTGGCGTCGTGTGAAAAGGGCTTAATTATTGGATATCGCTAGAAATCTTCAGAGTTAGTCCCTTCAACAATAACTTATAGTTACTTTCTCCGTGCTCTTCAACAAATGTGAAGTTTTTCTGTTGATTAGTTTCCAACTAGTATGTTGTACTCCAACCACAAAACTCCTATTTTTTCTTTTGTGGGCGTCTGCAAGCCTCTGAAATATATATTATTTTGGACAAAAACGGATCCACCTTGCGAGCAGAACGGCTCCCGGTCCATACATTGTTGATAACATATTGTAAACTTGCCACCAGTCCTTCACTTACCCCCGGGTCTGTAGACAACAAACTCTTGATCCTCTCTCCTGGTTTCCAGCAGCAAGTCAAACATGTAGGTGGTCTTGACGCCGCAGAGTAGGGTCCCCATGGGCGTCTCTTCCTCCCCCTCGTACGACCTCTCCAGGGACTCGTGGAATTCGTCGTACTTGACGAGCCGGCAGCATTCTAAGGGGGTGTGCTTGTCATAACACAAGAGCTGGAGACAGAAAGTGTAAAAAAAAAATACCGTCTGAGATCAGAAAATCCTTTCCAAGCTTTGAAGGACAATGTGTAATGTGTAGTAAGCCAGAACCATCCAGACTTTAGTTGATCATATATAAGAGTTAAAGGTGGAGAATATCATTTGCAACTATTCAAAAAGTAACTGATGAAGCATACGTGGTTCAAAGATAGTAATGGCACTAAACTCCCTGTGAAATTATTCTTTCTGGCATGCTGTCATTTTGCAGAAAACAATAAAAGAAGGTCATTTCCAAAGATGCGTCTGAAGATGCATTTTTGGAAATTTCCATTAGAAGCCACTTTTCTTGTAGAAGCCAGTTTCCTTGTAAAAGCCAGTATCCTTCCGTTAAAGCCGTGAAGTGCGCATGCATTGACACGATGCACGCGCATTTGTTATAATTCGTCGGTTCAGTGCGTGACATCGCGTAGCTGCTATCAGCTGAATGAGAACGTGTCCCGGATGCTGATTTCGGGCGTAAGTCAAAACATGACTTGGCAACTTCTGAATTGAAATCAAGATCCTAGAATATTGTTTTTCTCAGAATATACAGCATTCACTGAGCTAAAACTTCATCAGGTTAGTTGTTAAGCACCCTTCTTTAGATTTTGAGCACTGAGTCCCCACGAATGATATACTCTACCTTTCAATACACATAAAGATTTTAGGTTGGGAAGTCATGAGGCTGGAACAGTAGTTCTTTTCTCGCCTTCCACCTCTACAACCCCGGTTTGAATTCTGCCCTAGTCTACATGTGGATTGGATTTCAGTCCCTATCTGATTCCGTGGGTTTCCCCTAGAATATTCTTCTGGGGTTTTCCTCCCACGTCTAAAATTATAATTTCTTCATTGCCTTCTCTTTACAAGTTTCTCTAGGCGTGCGAGCTACATTGCCTAGAGCGCCTTTTGAGGATGTAAATATAATATTTATAATAATGTATGACCTCTTTTTTCCTCTCACCTTGTGTGCCATCTCCGTGGCCTCTCTGAGCGTCTTATCTTTGTGGACCTCTAGTCTTGCTTCCACTGACTTCCCAGTTAACGGATGAACACCAAATAACTTGATCTATGGGTAAAGCAACAACAAACAGCAGAAAAAATAAAAACTTAACAGTTTTTATGCTAATCTGTTATTAATATCACTGGCGACGGGCAAGAGCAAGCATTAAAACTACCCAAAAGAAAAGGTTCATATGTTGTGTACAAAGTCAAGGATGCCCAAACAGTCCCTGCATGTAAGTGTCATACCGCACACTTCGTACACACCGGAACACACATACTGAAATTTGTATTCTTGTGGAGACATTTCTCTGTTCTTGTGTAGTAAAGTTTTCAAGTTGGAAAGTGAAGTTTCAAAATGCTCTAATTTTAACCAGAATTAATTTCCTTGGCTGAAATTCGGACTTAATATCCCTTTTCTGAAACTCTTCCATTTGTGACAGATCAACCCACCATGGAAATTCCTAGTTTTTGAGTAAAATTCATATATCTATTGCGTGAAAATCTTGTGGAGACGTATTCATCTATAGAAATTGCCCTGTGGAGACGTATGCAATCTTTTGTTCCCTATTGTGTGCACGTCTCCAGAGGGCACGGTGTATCAGATCTGTATACTGTAGGTGTCCACGCAAGCGTTGCATAGCCAATTACCCACTTGATTTCAAGCCTACTCTCTACCCCCTTTACCATTCTACCAGCCTCACCTTGCAAGTGTTTCTATCAATCTCTCTCTGTCTCCTTTCTTCTTCCTCTTCACTCTGTAGTCTTGCCTTCAGCTCCTTGATGTGTGATGGGAACTGTTCAACGGTTGTAAAATCTTAACAGACAAACAAACATGTGTCTGGGTTAAAGCTATAGTCCATCATTTGCAGCCATCCGAAAAGTAACTGGCATAATTTTTGTTGAAAAACATACTTGGTTGAAAGATAGTAAGGGGACTAAACTCCCTGTGAAATTATTCTTTCTGGCAAGCTGTCATTTTGAAGTAATCTACGAAAGAAGGCCTTTCCAACGGTGTGTCTTAACCGTAGGAAAATTTAAATTAGTAGTTCGTTTTGTTATTCGGCGAAGCGCGCGCAAGCATTGGCACGACGCACGCGCAGTTGCTATAATTCGTCGGATCAGTGCGCGACATCACGTATAGCTGCAATCGGCTCAGTGAGAACACGTCTCGGACGCTGAATTCAGGCCCAATTCAAAACATGATTCAGCAACTTTTGATTTGAAATTGAGATCCTAGAATGCTGTTTTTCTCGGAATATACAGCTGAAGCTGAGCTGAAATTTCATCAGGTTAGTTGTTCAGTATCCTTCATTAGATTTTGAACCCTTTTGTTGCTTCAAACGAACAAAATGCACAAATTACAAATGATGGACTATATCTTTAATAGAGATCCAGCAGGCCCAAGGTATCCAGATTGTAAGTGGAGAGAAATGAACACGTCTCATTGGCAGTTCTTGGTTTGACCTGAGACCTTCAAAGATGCTGAATAACAACTCCAAACCCTTCTTAAAGGTAGAGTGGACCATTTGCAGCAATCCAAAAAGTGACCGACCAAAATACTGTTACAAAAAGATTACTTGGTAAAGACAGTAATGACACTAAACCCTGTGCGAAATTATTCCTTCTGGCATATTGTCATTTTGAAGAAAACAATTAAAGAGAAGGTCGTTTTCCAAAGATGTGTCAAGTGACACATTTTTGGAAATTTCTGTTAGCAGTTAGTTTGTAATTGGGGAATCTGTGAATGGGCGTGCGCAAGCGTTGACACGACGCATACGCGCACGGTTGCATGGTTCAGTGCCTGACATCGCATAGCTGCAATCGGCTGAATGAGAACGTGTCCCGGATGCTGATTTCGGGAGCAATATGACTCGGCAACTTTTGAATTGAAATCGAGATCCTAGAATATTAGACAGTTGTTAAACATCCGTCTTAAGATTCTGAGCACTTTTGTTGCCTCAAACGGAAAAATTCACAAATTACAAATAATCCACTCCGCCTATAACTGTAAACATAGCTCCTTATGCAATCCATAAAAGTTACGGCAGAAATCCATTGTAATACATGAAAGAAATCATTAACCCTAACCCTACTCAATCCTCCAAAATCAACCAGGCGGTTTTAGAGTAAAAAGAGCTTTTACCTGATATAAACCAATAACTTTGGTCATGCGCTTCCCAAAGTTATACAGTTTCCAGTTTTGTTCATGGCGAAGCTCAAAGATTCTTAAACATAACTGTTAGCATTTAAACACAACACTGTGGCTGTAGGCATCCTTTGTGAAATGATAATGAAGAAAATTTAGGCTTCAAAGGAGAAAAATTCTTCATTTTTTAGATGATTATACACCTTGTTTTTACGGAACTTACTTGCATTCTTGTTCGGCTCCACCCGTCTGTACATCAGCATGTAAGCGTTGGGTAGCGTGCTGTTGGGGGCGCTTCGGCCAGGCAAGGCCTCGATACCGTACGTCCGCCGTATGTCATCTTGCGTGGAGCGCGTCACGCTCGTATCATTGAAGCAGTACCAGCGCCCGTCACTGAAAGATCTTCATGGGATACGAAACAATGTTTACGATCAAATACAGAATATACTACAAACTTATCTTTTTAAAAAAATTTTGAGCCTCGAAAATCTTTTAAAAATCAAGAAATTTGTTGTTAACGTTTCTTAATATGAACTCCTTACGAAATTGACAGATTAGCTTTATAATAATTGAAAGTGAAATACAGGCTGAGTAAAAAAAAAAGAAACCCAAATGGCAGGACCATCTTTTGAATGACGTTTTGCCTGGAGCACTTTCAAAATCTAAGATATGAAAGCCCAGTCATTAAGCTTTCTTTTAATACAAGAATCATTCAAATCACTCGTGTACTTTTCAAGTTACGGAATTTTTAACACAAACACAATTTAAAAGTTCTGTCCACGGATCACAAAAAAGTAAGTGTTTTCCAGCAAAACAAAAACAATTCACATAGGGATGCATGTGAATTGTTTTCATTTTGCTGAAAGAACACTTACCTTTTTTTGTGATCGGTGGACTGAACTTTAAAACGGTGTTTGTTTTCAAAATTCCGTAACTTGAAAATTACATGAGTGATTTGAGTGATTCTTGTACTAAAAGAAAGCTCATTGATTGGTCTTTCATATCCTGGATTTTGAAAGTGCTAAAGGCAAAACTTCATTCAAAAATTGGTCCTGCCATGTTTTTGGGTTTTTTTTTTTACTCACCCTGTATATTTCTAATTCTAGCTTGTAACGCCTAAATCTGAACTGCGATAACTTTTACCTGTACAATGTACATTATAGGCCGAGTCTCAAAACATGGCCATGCATCTTCGGACTGGTTTTGTACCAGAAGGTCACAATTATTTAAAATAACTGGGCAAGCAGTCATCATTGCAAACGTGCAGGCCAGTCTTTGACAGTGTATTTCAAGACAGAGGCAGGACCCATATTTTGCCGGCAAAAACTTACTTGATGTATGCATAGTAATGTCCACCATTTGCCGTCCCAGAATGCACCATGATAGAGAACAGCTCGTACAGGTAGGGCGTGGCGGCGGGCTGCGATTTGCTGGGCGTGGTCACCTGGGCGGCTTGCTCCACGTCGATGCCTTCATCCACGGTATCGTCCGGGCTGTGATTCTGGCCGGGGCCGGCGAGAATGCTTGGGCTTTCAAAATCATCAGCCTCCCTGTCTGATTGGACATCGGTCTGGATCAAAGCAACCCAAGGATTGGTCAATTGCAGGCAAAACAAAGCAAAGGTTGCAAATTTACTACAATGTAAGGGATAATTTGTTTTTCTTTAAAAAAAAAGTCAGTTTCAAGCCTAAGAGAAAGAATGTTAGTGGATCCAGTTGTGCCTTTCTCCATTTAAAATAAGACAATGCCTAATTTTGTGTTGGAACATTTTGTGTTACCGGGTACTTAAAACCCTAATATGCATTCTGTGCAAAGTTGTCCTTTCAGTCAAAATCAATCAAGGGACTGTATTAACAGTTCAGAGCTCCCAGCTTACATAAAGCAGGATTGACTGGCTGGGACTGTTTATGTAACTTGATACAGCTATGCTTTGACTGTAGGTGATTGATAAGCCAGCTGTGCCTACCACTTGCCTGCATTTGTCTGTTGACTGAATTTGACTAGCTACAGTGCTTACTTAAAATATGATCTGACTGTTGGTGACTAGCCTGTGTGAAAGGCATGGCAGGGGAAGAGGATTGATTTTTTGACTGTCTGTGACTATTCAGATAGCAGGAGGGTTAATTTTAACAAACTGTATAAATCTCCGACTTATTTGGTTGGTTCTAAGCAAAAGAAAAGTAGCATTGAATTAAATCAGTTCGAATTTAGTCCATGCATTAAAAACGTTTGACCTTTATGTTATTATTTCTTGAGTCAAATCATTTACAAACATAAAAGCTATAGTCCATCATTTGCAGCCATCCGAAAAGTAACTGGCGTAATTATTGTTGAAAAACATACTTGGTTGAAAGATAGTAAGGGGAATAAATTCCCTGTGAATTTATTCTGTCATTTTGAAGTAATCAACGAAAGAAGGCCTTTCCAACGGTGCGTCTTAAGACGCACCGTTTCCAACGGTGCGTCTTAAGACGCACCGTAGGAAAATTTAAATTAGTAGTTCGTTTTGTTATTTTGCGAAGCGCGCGCAAGCATTGGCACAATGCACACGCGGTTGCTATTATTCGTCAGATCAGTGCGCGACATCACGTATAGCTGCAATCGGCTCAGTGAGAACGCGTCTCGGACGCTGAATTCAGGCCCAATTTAACTTTTGACAAAATGCACAAATTACAAATGATGGACTATATCTTTAAGTGAAGTCATCTCTACCCACAGTACACAACCTTTTTATACATTACAAGAAAAGTGAAACCGTTTTTTTTTTACTCAAAAGGGAAAGAAATTCGAAGAAAAGCCATACCTCGTCTTCTTCCTGTTTTTCGTCTTCCAAAAACGTGTTCATGTTGAGCAATTCAGGAAAGGTGACCCTGTAAGAACAAAATTATCGGCGATGCCACTCAATCAACAATTTGCAGTTTGTGGTTTAATACAAAATTTTAAGTTGGTAAAATTTGACTGGAATGATTGGAATTACAGTTAATTGTGGCCCACTAAGAAACAAGATAGATCTTTCACAATGTGTCCAAAAATGCTGTTGTGATCAATTGACCATTGTGCAGTGAGGCATGAGGGACATTAAATGAAACTCATAGGGGTTTAGGCCAAGGGAGTAAAACATTTTCAAAATTTACTTCGTGGTTTTGTTGTCATTTCAAAAATATTTAGATGGAAAAGCTGTATCCGCTTCGTTCACAAGTACCCCCTCACCGGCAAAGAAAGTACAGTTGGGGGTGACCGAACGACACCATCTTGCCCGACTGCAATTTTTTCGCGACGCGCGGTTGTACTTTGTACCACTGTGTGTACATAGTACAAATCCCCTGGTGTACGTGCGTCACACACAAGGAACGGTACGCGTCAACCAGCTAAATGTCCCGCCCATGGGACATCGTTGCTAGGTAAAATGGCGCCCTCTTTGTTGGCGCACGGAGCCCATAGTGGCTGGGCCCTACTGTCCTCAATCCTGTAAAATCCTCAAAAACCTCCTAGTGTTATTTTTAATGGTTCGGGGGATTAATGCCCTTTGTCTGAGGATTTGTAAATGCAAAAGATCCCTTACCGAAGTCAAATTGTACCTACTTGTCGTTTAGTTTGTGCCTGGTATAGGTGGAGTAGTCGAAGTCAAATCGCTTGAGTTGAAAGGTCAGGACGTAGGGGAAGGATTGAAACTTCAGCCCCTTGTGAGCGTCGCATTTCTTGTTGCAGTGCTCACAGAAATATTGGTTTGTGTCATTCAGGGTCTCTGGTGTGATGAAGGCCTGCAGTGCCTCTTGCTGTATGGCAATTGAAGAGATAACTTAATTAACAGATGGAAAAACGTTAAAGGCACGTCTGATTGCATGAGAAAAATCTTACTCAGGGCAAAGATAGGGCTGGTACTACATGTACGTGTCAAAAAAAAATGTCCTGCTTTTGATCCTAAATTACTCTGTTGTTTACCAATGGAGTTAAACCAAAATTTCAGATCATGTAAACAAGGCATGACAAATTTTATATCCTGAAAAATCCTCCAACTGCCTCTATGTAAAATTGCATACAGCCTCAATCCTCCGAAATCTTCCGTTATTTCTTGAATGTGGTTCTTGGAGGGTGACCACTGCTTCAATCCTGCAAAATCTTCTGGCAATCACTGTCAATATGTTGAGGCAGAGCCAGTGACATCCTGGTGCAGTACGGAGGATTTCAAGTATAATCTAGGCTTAATTTATGCACGGCTGAGCATAAACAACGCAAGGTCCGGCCCAAGACCTTGACACAGTGCATCCTCCAAAATCAGCCACACATGATTTTTGCCATATGGCCTCAATCCTGCAAAATCCTCCATTTGCAAAGAAGATTTTTGAGGATTTGGGAAGGTTAGGGTTACGGATGTGCCAAAGCCAATGCTAAGGCCTAGGTATTTTATAGTGCAGACACTTTTCTTTGATGTACTTACCACACTCCCGTATGTTTTCGTTGAGCCAAACGGTCTGATGACGAGGGGGATGTCCAGGAAACTATCCTTCCTCGCACTCTCATGTCCACACTGAAATTACAAATATCACATTTTATCCTCACAATAAGATAATGTTGAAGGTTTGATCATTTTTGTGCGACAACACTTGCTGGTAATGTGTAAGTTACTCTTGAGAGTCTAACAGGGTTTTCCAAACCTCCAGCTTTGGTTTTCAGGTTTTTTGTGGTTCCTGACTTGGGAGCTCTAGCTCACTCTATGTCCTTAGGCTGTGTTGAATTACTTGGGGCTACGGCTCGAAATCACACACAAGTCTATGGGGAGAAGCTGATGCCACGTATGTTATCGGCGATAATGTTATCAGTGTCCAGGCCCCTGAGCCAGTTTAAACGTACTTGTTTAAAACTGGCCAAGCACATATTTATTCCCTTAACCAGTTCGCGCCGGGATTACTTTTGCCGAAAAATTTCGATTTTCGAAGGAGGCAAGATATAGCAGCCGACTTTTGATATCAGCTAAACGCCACAAATACTGATTCGCAAGAGTCATTTCAACAGTATTTGTACGATATTTCTTACCGCAACCTCATATTTGTCAACACTCCGGGTGTGCCCACGGAGCGTGAATTGTACCACAACAGGCTGTGCACAGTGGCCAAGTTCAAGTAAAACACACGGTCTGCCTCCACAGACTTCTCAGACTTTGTGTGTGTGTACAAAACAAATGGGGGATTAGCGTGTTTAGACGTCATCCGGAGGCGAATCAAGGCACGCTTGACGTTTTAACTCGTCAGCCGTGCCCGTGTATAGAATAAGCCAGATTGTGTTAACACGTCATCCGATGCGAAGTGGTTAATAGAGACAACATTAAACTACAACTAATTCCTTTTTTACCTCCAGGCACTTGACATAGTCCTTCATCTGGCCCTGATACAGTCTGTTGATGAGATCCTCGTTCTCGGTGTTCTTAAACTTGGTCTCCAGAGCATCAAACATGACACGGCATAGCTCCTGCACGTCATGCTGGTGCCAAGCTGCAAAAAAGTCCAGAATAGAATACTCATAAAGCCATAAGCATAACATGCGTGAGATTGGTAGAAAATGAAACATCTACGCAAAATAATCGGCGGAGGGTTTGGGGGCCGCCAAGGGCTCTAAAGCAAGGGTGGGTTATTTTGACCATCTCACAGCCGGGGGAGGGGGGGACGGATACCGTATCAAAAAATGCGGAAGACTTGAGGCTTAAATGTCAGGACAGCTCAGTCACCAAAAAAAATTGCAGGGGTATCGCAGAAAAAGTTGTAGGGGGGGGGGGGGGAGATTCTGCCCCTACCCCCAGCTCTTTTAGGGTTAAGGCATCCCTCAAAATACCCAATTCTGCTGTTTTACATGAACGTTTATAGTAAAAGCACCTCTTTTGGTATTTGCTGGAGTTTCACATTTTTTTAAATCCTGAAATCCGGGAAAATCCTCACAAATTCCACCCAGGGCATAAACAATTTACGAAACACAACTATGAAAAAGGAACAGGAAAAGGCGAAGAATTTTCAAATTTATACTCGACAACAGTGATAAAACAATGTTCATTGAAACACTGCACACACATAAAACTTAAAATTTAAATTGAAAAAAAATTATGAACACTCTGAAGAAAAAATAAATAAAGTTTTATTTCCAATGCCTGATCTTCCCAAACCAGGGAGTTACGACAATCTGACAAATAAACAATCCAGTACCTTCATTGCTGTCCCATCCAAAGCTTCGTGTGACGTCGTAGGTCTCAATGGATCGCTTGGTGCTCGTCTGGAGCTGCACAAACAGTCGCTGCAGCTGGTATGGGATGCTCTTGGTGGGATCTTCAACGGACTCGTCAAAACACCATCTGACAAAATTCAATATCGCTATCATCACTAGGTTGAACAAAGAAATTGACTGGGTGGGATTCAAGCCCAGAACCTCTTGAATACTACACAAGAGCTCTTCTAACTGCGCTCTCCTGCCCCACGTCCTCCAAAATTGTCGGAAGTCGGAAGCACATGTGGATCCCGCCCACAGTCAAGAAACCACCAACAGTATACAAATATAACATGGTTTGAGAGTGGATAGCCAATATTAGCGCTCCAAGGTATTGGAAGTCGACAAACTAGTTCCTGAGACAAAGCCAAGGAAACTAGTTTGTCAACTTCCAATACTGAGTTATATATAGCCAATACCGAGTTATATATAACCACGTTATATTTGTTTTACTATACCTCATACATATTCAGTTGCCGAATTTTCCCGTTCGCAGGCATATTGCTCAACCTCAGAAAAGTTCAGCTCGTTTAAAATACAGTAACTCCTAAGAGTGCATACCGCATTGTGGACCATTATTTTAGTAGAGGAGGCATCTTTACTGTCCACAATATTTTCCACTTTGGCATCCTTGAGCTCGGGCAAACGCTACTTAACAACTACGTGTGCTGCCATCTTTTGACGTGTCATGTGTGTAGCTAGCTAGCTAGCTAGGGCGATGTTCGCGCGTGCGTACTACACCCGTGCAACAGCTCCATGATTGTTTTGTAAAGCGCACACGTGGTAGACTGTTGCTCAGGTAACCCGCGCGACAGTTTACTACGCATGCATGGTGAATGGACCAATGAGACTTCAGCTCTCGATCATGAATATGTATGAGGCATAGTAATAGAAATTGCTCAATTCCTGGGGAATGGCAATTGGGGATCCATTACTGAGCTATGTTAACCACCCCCTTTTTTACAGGCAACACGCTTCATGGGCGATCAGGAACTTTGCAAGTGATCAGCCGTTTCGTGAGTGATCGACTCTTGAATAACTTGTGAACGCACACTCACACACACACATGACTGTTCCAGAAACGGACAAGGTAAAAAACATCTATTTAGCAAAAACGAAACAAGTCTGTATTTTATATTCTTTCAATATTCTTACTATGTTCATCTATATTCTTACTTGTATAAGGCGTTTCGGAATTCCGGTGTCATGTAAAGGGTCTGCAGCAGACTGTTGAGATAACACGTCATTGCTTGGTTGATCAAGCCGACATAACCTGAAATAAGACAAAAAATACAAATCCATTAAAGGCATATTGCTGAGTAGAAGATGCAATCTTTTAAACTTTTGAGTGTCATGCCAGCGACCAAAAATTGCCAAAAACGAACGACTGCTATAACGAACATTCTCTTGTGGACACCATCGTGTTCATTATAGCAACTGTATTCTCTCTACGACACTCCTGATGGGGTACTACATAGTAGCATCACTTCCCTGGCCATACCTGACTCAGATTTGGCTGTGACTGCCGAAGCGTACGAACTGTAGCTGTAGTCGGTGAAGGTGGCGCAGGTGTCAACAGAGGGCGCTGTAATGAGTGGCTGGGTGTCCTCCCCGTCATTGCGAGCTGATGACGCTGCCGTTGCCATGGCAGCAAAGTTGTCATCGCCGTTGGTGACGGTGATCCCTGTCGCACCAGCCTGAGGAGTGAATGAAAGTATTATAAGTAGCTTGATTAGGTATGCACCGGGGGCATAAATTTGTTTACCACTAGTTTAGTAATGTTAGGGGGAAAATCCGAAATTTTTGTGGAAATTAATTTTAAAAAGTCCGAAGGGGAGAGACGGGCCTCACAATCAGACGCTACGTAGGCCTACATGTACATGTAGCAGTGTTCATGACGTGTTCAACTATTTTACCCTGCCAGCCGTACCAGACTGCATCGGATGTAAAAGTCTATGGGACCTTGCTGCATTGAGCCATCAACACCAGTACATAAACGGGCAATTCTGAGACAATGAGAGCTAGTCCCACTCAAAGGGAAAATACAACATTTGCAAACATCAAAAAATAAAACTACAAAATCATTTTGAAATACCTTGCTGGACTGTTAGTAAATGACAGTGTAAAGCATCCTGTAAAATCATGGCACCTGGTATACTGTCATTTCCAAAAAAAGTGGTATTTTTGTATCAATTTCCAACGCTAGCTGGTCGGCCGACCAGCGTTGGAAAAAACTGGCTTTTTTTCAAATACTGGCCCCAATGGACCATCGCACTTGTTTGCAATTGATTACGTACCTATGAACGGGTACAAGCCAGCTAGACTGGTTCCCCGACCTTACAATTCCCCAATGTATGTAAACTGCTCTGTTGCTTCTTATATGGAGTCAGGGAACCATACTACAGGAAAATGATTGTTTTTCTTGGTTTTTATAGCATTTTCGAACCCCAAACCTCAAAAAAGTCAGTGTAACTATATTTGCTATATATTTCCAACCCCCAATTCCATCCATTTCTGAAAATTACAGCAAAAGCAAATGATGTATATTCCCTTTAACAGTGCCACAGTTGCATCCTGCTGCAAATGGTGACCACAGACTCTGAGACAGTTTGACCTTGAGATTTGTGACTTGGTGGATCTTGCCAGACCGATGAGCAGGCTTGTCATTTTGTCAAGTGTTGCATGTCGCTGAGTTTAGCAGGGTTTCTAGCCAGAATACCCAAGGGGTTTAGGGTTTAAAGTTCTTGCATGAGATATTCTTACAGCCCATCCCCCCCCCCCCCCCCCCCCCCCCTCCATGAGCTCGCCAGTCCACATCATCAAATTCGATGTTTCGGGTTCGATCCCCACCAAAGTACTCACATTGATGGGCACAGGCTGGACACCTTCCTTGTCCTGAATCTGAAATAAGTTCTTCTTTCGGTCGGGGAGAAGGCCAGCTTCTCCGAGGGTTTGCGTCCCGCGATCATTCATTAAAACCTGTACAAATTTGATATCAAATAAAGAGGTCAATTAATTTTGTTCTTCAAATTACACTCAAAGGGCTCCTAAAAGGGCATTGTGTAGTTGAGGTCACCTCCGTTTTTTGTAATTTTTAAAAACAGTTTTGTCGCTCCCCCAACCTCTGCAACCTCAGGATACATTCTCTTAATTATACTGACCCTAATTTTTTTTTAGTTTAGAACAATTAACTCAAAGAAAAATCAGCTTTCTTATATAATCTGAAACAAGCATGCGAATCGACACACTTACTGCACCGTGCGGTATGCAAGCAAGTCTGGTTCCAATACCAAAAGATCCTGAACTGTCATGCATTTTGTAATGTGGAACCAGACTACTAGTAGAAAAGCAAGCTGCACTGGTATATCAACCAATTACCGACAGTCTAAACCTGACACTATTGCCAAGTTTGTTTTCAGCATTTTCATTTTTATCGACTTCACTTTTTCCCCATAATTTCCCTCAAATATCAAAACCCTGCCCTCTTTCCACAATATTAATCCTGCAGTTATTCAAAATGGTGTTTTTGTCCTCTACTTAATTGAGTCCAAATGTTGGCTTACAAATGGAATTTTTCATCAACGAATCAGCGATGTTCTACAAAACCAGCTTGTTGGGGTTTTTTTATGGAAAGATGTACATTGTAAACACATGGTTTTGTCGCTGTCATTGTTTTACCCCATATTTTCCCTCAAAAATCAAAATCCTGCCCTCTTTCCACAAAATTAATCCTGCAGATTTATACAGCATGATGTCATCGTTATCTACTTAGGTGAGTCCCAAAGTTTAGAAGTAGATTTTTGTTCCCTTAAAGGAATGGGGTCCACAACTACATGTACACAAACGCCCCTAAAAGAGGTTTATTGTGCATGAAGACAAATGCATATTCATGTCTGGAGGGTGTAACAGAGCAAGGGGGGAGACTCAAAATGTCCAACGATTACTTACATCGTCGGTACCATCGGCACCGCTCCGCTGCCAGACCAAGTTGAACGTATCGGGTTCGTAATTGGCTTGTTTGGCGACTTCGTCGCACAGGTCACGGGTAGTTGTGCGTATCGGCAGGGTGACCGTGATCTTACAGCTGTTCCACTGTGGGTTGGTGATGTCACGGATTATGCAGAGTATCATCCTATCGTCTGCACTGCAGGAGGCCTGACACAAACCAAAGGATGACAACTAATCATTGACAAACTCATATCTTCTTTAAAAGGATTATTTCGACATTATGTTTCTTCACTTGTTGTTTTGAGGAATCGAAATTGGGACTGAATTTTGTCAGTATGGGATATACAATGTACTATTGAATATATGGCAATCGCTGGGATGCACAGTGGATTTTCAAACCACTTTGATTCCTACGACATCAACTGAAAAATGCGTAAGAAAGTCGCAGTAATGATGAATACACTAAGGACAAAGTTCAAATTGACAGAAAATAGGGTCATTAGAATCAATTAGGCTATAAAAAAACTAAAGGTTGCAGTTGTCATTTTGGAATGATAAAAACTAAAGAACACTCTAACATGTCTAGTTAGACTAAAAGTAAATGCAGTGTTTACGCCTATATTACCGTGAACTGGTCCCGCATTTTTTTTCCGTTCTTAAGCCAGTACATCGTACAACGCCCTCATTTGCACCTATACAAGTAGGCCTACACCATAAAAGATATTAAATTACCACTCTGAATAGAGCCAAAATGTGGCCTAGAAGTGGATAGCACGCTAGACTCACAATCACGATGTCACGGATCGAGTCCTGGCCTCGCCACTCATTTTGAAATTTTGTTTCTTTTTCCCATAAAAGTAAGAGTCGTCTTCTTTGTTTTCGAATCGTCTATTTGATAGCAGAATACATGTACATGTATTTCATTCTCTTTTTCTGGCTCTGGAGCATTTTTTTTAAGGGAAATATCAAATAAAGTTTGAATAGGGCCCTAGGCCCTAGGTCTGATTCCCATCACCTTAACGCGAAGTCACAATGACGATAGCGCAGAACTACTTCCAGAACTGTAGAAAGACCAATTGAAGTTGCTGTAGCAGACAATTCTCAATTTTTTCCGACCTCCAAACTCTCCTGTCGCGAAATATTTGGCCTCAATATATCACAAGTATTATCTTGATGCAGATAGGTACCTCTAGGGTGGGTTGAAATCCCTCAAATGTCAAACAAAAATATGAAATTGACCAGAATTTCATTCATTAGGATCACTGGAGTCTTGCAGTCGGCCCTGTCTCATCATTTGCTGTCGACTGAGGGCGCTTTATTTCTCTGGACCAACTACAGCGTGGCTTTCATTTCATCGCGCGAGGCACGAAAAAAACACTCTCAGAATGAAAACTGCGCTGTAGTAGTTGGTCCAGAGAATTAAAGCGCCCTCAGTCGATAGCAAACGATGACAGACGGCTGAGTGCGAGACTCCTGTGATCCTGGTGAACGAAATTCTGGTAATTTTCACATTTTTGTTTGACATTTGAGGGATTTCTGGACCAACTACTACAGCACGGCTTTCATTCCGAGAGTATGTTTTTGTTCCTTCCCTGACGATGAAATGAAAGCCACGCTGTAGTTGGTCCAGAGAAATAAAGCGCCCTCAGTGGACAGCAACAGATGAGACAGGGCCGCGTGTGAGACTCCTGCGATCCTGGTGAACGAAATTCTGGTAAATTTCACATTTTTGTTTAACATTTCAGTGATTCCAACCCACCCTAGAGCAGAGGTACTTTTGTTCGTGACAGGAGGGTTTGGAGGTTAGAAAAAATTGAGAATTTTCTGCTAAGTACAGCAGCTTCAATTGGCATGATTGGTCTTTCTGTAAGCATGGTAAGGTTTGTAAAAACCTTACACAGTTCTGGAAGTAGGACCAGACGATCAGTCATCACGGTAAACATTTTAAAAAAAAAATCTAAGTTAGGCCATGGTTAGGGCTACTTCCAAGTCCCAAAAAACAGTCACTGTCATGTTCAGTGCTCTGCCGGGCACAATCGACAATCACGACAATCGAGCACCGGTTCGCAGTCAAATATACACAGCCAAAAGTAAAACAAAAGGCGTAACTACACAATCACCTACATTAATATATCTAGGCTATATCCCCGTAAAATTAAAGAATGACTATCCATTAGAAAAAGAAAAAAACGATTAGTATTTTAATAATATAAAATATAGACCTCAACTCAAGCAAATTTTAGTTCAAAGCAAATTACGACCATGACGACACAAATTGATGGCAAGGAACTTCAACATTTCGAGATTAGTTTTTACCGTTTTCAAAACTATCATGGTTTCAAAACTCACCTCGGATGGCACAAGTTGTGTACTGTTTACTGGGACCATTTTGTCATTTTTTTATTGGTCAATGGAATATCCTGCGCCAAACTTTTAAAACAGTAATCGCCCCGGAAATAATCGTCTTCCACCACCCGGCCCGAGCACTGCACTTTAAATGACGAACATTATCTGATATCCAATACGCATGGCGCACAAAACAAGTTCAGAGCGAGCCCAATAAGTGCGTGTCTCATACGCAATTTCAACACGATTTTGTACCTCAATCGAGCCTAATTGGGCGCCTCGATATATACCACGTATTTTGCCGAATTTATGGAAAAGATTACACTAAAATAATTGCTCGATATTTTTCCATTGCATATTCTTATATCAAAGGAGAACAAAAACAGACAAGCATTTTAAAAAAAAATAATATGCATATTCTCTGAACGTTTTAACGCTTTAATATATTTGAACTAAATTTCGAACGAGCCTTTCTAAATAAGGGCCTTTTGCGCAAGACCCGTCAATCGCCATGAGGTTGTGATAATTTAGATTGTATAAATCCAGCGGAATCAGCCGCATCGCTTTATGAAATTTATTAAAATATTATGGAATTGATATTTAATACATTCCTTAAATCATTGAACTTGTTTTTGTTTTACTTGATTAAAATTAAGAATGAATTTGAAGTTCTTTTCGTTCCAAGTCGTATCCGGCGATATACGTACATGACGTGTACATGTACATGTACATAATTATGATGGAACTTGCGTAGTAATACATGTAATACATGTAATGTGCACATGTTGGGCGCGATCTGTACGGCGCTATCGCCCGATCGCGCTGCTACAAAATTATGTGAATTGCAATGCTATACAAAAAATATTGCATAGCAGTGTTTGCTATGCAAAATTTTAAGTAAATTGAACACTGATCATATCGCCCGATATTGTGCAGTTTGCCCCGACGATGGAGGTAGAAACTAGAATTATCGTGCTGATCACTGCTGATCGATTAACGGATCATTGTCAATTGGTTTTAGAAATGCTGCTAGGCCCAGGGTGCAGGGACAATGGGCATGATGGGGGGAGATTTTCTACATGTGACTTGTTTTTTGAATTTGATGTGATTTTGTAGAAAAACCTAAACTTAGTGAATGAAATATTTTAATACAAGTTTGGATAAGCTGACCAAAGCGTCTTCGCTAGAGTAGTCTTCTCTTGTTTATTGTTTCATTCAACAATTTCTTATTGTTTACAGTAAAGTAACCCGCGATTCGCTGTACGAGGCTGTCGACAATGTCCTCAAGGGCAGCAAGGCCCATAGGCGAGGCTTCTTGGAGACGGTTGAGCTCCAGATCAACCTGAAGAACTACGATCCGCAGAAGGACAAGCGATTCTCTGGCACCGTCAAGTATGGCGTCCCCTCCTGACCTTTGACCTGCGATTTGCAAGATTTCTAGCGGGACCTCTACCCAGGGTCGTTAAAACAACTGGGGAGGCGTGCGCATCTGTTCATGCCGAAAATTTCAAATCCTTCTGATGACCCAAACCCAGGGTCTTAAAAGAACTGGGGAGGCAGTCAAATGCCGACAAAATGATGGTTTACGTTGAGGGTTGAAACCCTCATTGTAGAGTAAGAGACACGTTAGCATAATCAATTAAAATAAAGTGTGGGGTGCTACAGAACGAAACTTCAGCCAATGAAAGAAATATAGTCAATTGCAATTCTTGTTTTCGTTGGTTGCGATGTGTTGCCATTCAATTTCCAGAAATTTGATCTGGGTTCAAGATAAGGACGTAAGGATCTCCACGCCTTTTTGTTACCAGCACTTTTTAAAGCATATTTTACTTATCTTTATTAAAATAATGCATCATTTGCAGACTGGTTTAGGAGAAAGCAAGCTGAAGCTCTTTGTTCCTTACTAAACAGCAAACGTTGACCTCACTCCCAACTGACTAAACCTATAAAGAAGTGCTCGACAATCGGAAACTTGTGCAAATCTGCCTGATCCGTGATGAGATCAAAGTTTGGCATGTATTATCAGAAACTAAGAAGACATGTTGAACAAACTTAACCACAGCTCTAGAAATACTCTGAGATCAGCAGTGCAAGATCCAAGGGATGGACACTTGATTCAACATCCAAATGTCCCGCTCGATTTTTTTCATTTGACAAACTCGATATAATGCCCTGGTTTAATCTAGGTTGAGGACCATTCCTCGTCCCAAGTACAAGGTATGCGTCCTGGGCGACCAGCAGCACTGCGACGAAGCCAAGGCCAACAACCTTCCCTGCATGGACGCAGAGGCCCTGAAGAAGCTCAACAAGAACAAGAAGCTGGTCAAAAAACTGGGTGAGTTGGAAGAGGATTCTCTCATGGAGGGTAAATGGTAGTCTTATGGTGCTGTGTCTATGATACGCGAGCAGATTCGGGAAATAATTATGCAAAACAAGTCTGCGTCTTGACCTCCAGATTCTGACCATTCAGCGGGCTCCTTCTTTTGGGTCTTCCATACCCGTTGTACTTACAAAAACATGGCATCCAAATTGACTAATCAACATCTTGGTCCACATTTCTGATCGAAATGATGTTACAGCCTCTAAAGATCGGCTGGTGCGTGGGTCGCTTACTTAATAAGGATTTGAATGGTTTGATCTAACCAATTTTTGGGAGATGCTCCATTTTGCTTCTCGAACAAAATGTAGGTAATCTCGTGGCTTTTTTTTTTTTTTCAGCCAAGAAGTATGATGCATTCCTGGCCTCCGAGGCTCTCATCAAGCAGATCCCTCGTCTGCTCGGCCCCGGACTCAACAAGGCCGGCAAGTTCCCGACCCTGGTCACCCACTCGGACCAGCTGGTCACCAAGGTCGAGGAGGTGAAAGCTACCATCAAGTTCCAGATGAAGAAGGTACGATAATGTTTGATCCCTGTCTCCGACTTCGAACCGGTGTTGAAAATGTCAAGTAGATGCCAGTTTTGGATCCATGGACTCTGTAGGAATGATAAGATTGTGCCTCGTGGCCTAGCTTCCGGATGGGGCACGCTGCGTACATTGACTGGTTCTGGCACAAAAGTATTTGTACCCAATCTCATCTGTATTTGCTTTGTGCGGGTGCTTGGTGCCCATCAGCAGTAGCATTCAGCTACAACTTCAGTCAATCTAATCAGAAAACCATCAGGCATTTTTCTGTATCTTTTTCTTGACGACAGGTCCTGTGTCTGGCCGTCGCCATTGGCAATGTCAACATGAGTGAGGACGACTTGGTCGGCAACATCGCATTGGGCATCAACTTCCTGGTCTCGTTGCTGAAGAAGAACTGGCAGAACGTCCGCTCCTTGTACATCAAGAGCACCATGGGCAAACCTCAGCAGATCTTCTAAATTCCCCCTCACCCAGACAAAACCGCCATCATAGAAAGGACTCTTCACGATCAAGTCAATGCCTTGGTGGATTTGCTGGTGAAATATTGCTAAAACTCGGTCCACACAAAAGAGAAAACTCAAATCACATTGCTGTATTTTTTATAAAGCTCGTCTTAAAATGTGCATCAGATCCTAAGATTCTGATCATGGCTCATCCAAATTTGAAATCCCGGAGGTTGTATCGATAAGACCAGTGCATGACATTGTCACAGTACGACAGGTTTTGACCGCTCTTATTTCAGTAAATTTTTTTGGTCAAATAAATTTGAAATGTTGTTATTGTCATACAGTGGTCATGCGCTAGGGATGCAAACATAAAGCCTAATGCACAGAACAATTACCAAGTGGGGACTGCGTGAGGAAATAAAATAATGAAAAACCTGAAACAAAACGATTTGTCTACGTCATATTTTTTGTTAGTACTTATGTAGTTTAGTTTGTTTTATGTGAAGAATAGACGAGGATCTGCAGCTTTGTGCCAAGACTCGCATCGTCCATTCTTGGCACGAGTCTACGAGTAAAAATTTTGTCGCAAGCCAATATGGCCCATCGAGCTGGCAGTTATCTCCAGTTTTCAGTGGCATGAAACGACCAAGAATGTTTCTATTTCGCCCCTTGAATATACAAAAACTATTTGACATCCCTTTAAGGTTAATCTTATTGAAAAGTGCACTTCATTAAACATTCAAAATTTCCCATGTTTTCGGACAACTGAGGGCGCTGTTTCATTTCAGGAAGACACTTCAGTTTAGGGGTTTTGTGTTAAGTTGTGCACATTGAAAAATTTGTGGGGAAAGTTTGCTCATTGGCTTTAATACAGCCATGAACGTTCACAAAAATCACCAAAGAATATAAATTTTACGACAGCCAAAATATCGAAATTTTGGCAACTTTTATTGCTGACATTTTTCTGCCTGATGTGATATCACACTTGCTCATGATGTGAATATGGAAATTCGCAATAGCATGAAAACGAAAATGCACCAAAATTACCTCGAAAATGGCAAAACGAAAGATGAGTTGAAAATAAGGTTAAATGAGACACACAGGTGCATCTTCAAGAATTGCATTTAAAAAAAATAACATTGTATGAGTCCTTTTAAAATACAATCATCGAAGGAGTTGTACTAGAAAGGAACGATTTTACAGGTTGTACACTACAGTCTAGCATATTTATCCATCAGTAGTACATGTATTGATATCTTAGAATGTGTATTTTGCACACACAAAAAACTAGATGGATCATGAAGGTGAAAGGGGATGTAAAATAACGGTAGCTTAATCCCCATATACCCCTCCATCTTGCTGTTCTTGCATTTATATCGTTTACAGTTTTAACTGCAACTTTATACACTTTGTATGGCTGTCCTCTTTGTGTCTGAATTCTAGGAATTGGTGTCGCATTCGTTTGAATTTGGCATGAAATAATCCCATGAATATGAAATCAACACCAATTCGGTAAGCGACTACAGTACTGCGAGAGTGAGTCCATTCCGCGGCAATAGCGCCCTCACACAAGCAACTTTGTGAGAATACAACATTGTGTGCAGTTCGCGTTGTACTGGCAAAGAAAAAAACCCGAACCATTACCTTGTCTGGAAAAAAGTGTACTCTGTTGGACTTTGTTGAAAATCAAACTGACAAAAATTTAACTTGTATTTGACTTAGCCTTTTAACGACTTAACAAAGAGGAACGATGGACCTTGACAAGTCTAGCCTCTTATTTAATCCCACCTGTGTGTCGACTTGCACCTGTTCTTTGCATTGTGTATAATTATTTTGTCCGCTGATACGCAATCGAGACACCACCTGCTGACAAAATATGTACACTTGTGTTGGCACAAAAGAAACCGCTCCGCCCGCAGTTCAGGTACTTGTGTAATTAGTGTGCTTACAGATGGATGTGGTCATGCGGTAAGAAAATAATTATTTGTTCAAGGTGGAACCTTAAATTTGGCGCCAAAAGGTGGATTCAACGAAATGTAGCGTTAGTACAAGAGGATACTAATTACTTTACTGTTTGTATTTCAAAGTGTGTCCTGATGTGGACAATAAACATTCTGATCAAATACTGCTTAAGGCTATAATATGATGCAACGAATCAACGTTCAAAAACGGTTTACTTTTGTCTTTTTAATCACTTTTCCCGTTACTTCGCTGAAATTGTTCCTTGGCACGCGCAGAGTCTGTTATCCTGGCGTTTGACGTTTGGGTGATTCCACAAAACGAATAATATTTCAAACAGCGGCGTATCCACCGTTTTCACCATAGGGGCGAGTGGGGGAGGGGCCGCATGTTAAGGGGGATTTTTGTAGCATCCGTGCTGAAAGTTGAACTTTTTTTTCACTTGTCACCCGGCCTCCGTAAAATAGAAGGGGGGGGGGGGGGTTGCACACCACTGTCTATGGCACAATTAAAGGTTTTCACGTCGTGTTAAAAAGGGGCACTCGTAAAACAGAGGCGGTCTTGAAAAATGACTTTCAACTTTCCAGTGGAGGGGGGAGGGCGACGTTTTTTTTTTATGGGGGCCACGCCCCCCGACTACCCGCTGATTTGAAATGGTTTTGCAGCACATGAGATACGTTAGAGATGTACTGCAATTTGAACCCGCGTGCACAACAATAGACCTTATACGTATAGCGTCCATCTTAAAGGGCAGCTTTTGTTATTTTAATTCACTAACAATAAACGTACAAAAATTGTTCACTCGTGCATATCCCAGCAAAGCAAAGGTATTGCCCTCTAAGAGGGCTACAGCGCATAAGGTCTATATACAAAGAGGCTATCGTGTGCTTCTTTGTCAAAGACTTCAGTTAGTCAGTGTTACGAATCGGTTACTTTACCGTGCGTGCAACCATGGAGAAATTTCTCCATGGTGCAACAGAGACTAGCCGAGAAGAAGAATAAATCGGGGCTGCTTCTTTAGGGAATTGTGTCACATTTTAATTTTTTGGGCAGCCGGCCATCAACACAAAAAAGACACATTTTTCGCATTCGTGAGCGAAAGGGGAGAAGCGTTGGAATGCAGTGTGTAGGGAGGATTAATTCTCGTGTCGGTAAATATTGGTCAACCAAAGCATCCTTAGATGATCACCATCCGACTTTTGTTGCAGTTGCTTCTGTCAGTGTATTCAATCAAACAACAACGGCCGGAACTAATACCGCGAATCGAGAATCGAATTTTCTGGTGGCTCATCAATCATAGTGCGAAACGCCAACACCGCGAGACAAAGAGGTGAAAATACCTCACTCAGAAGGCGGGAAGAGTCACAAAAGGCGAGAGAAATAGCTGGCATACCGCGATCGGGGGGGGGGGGGAGAGGGGTGAGAGTAGGTGTGTATATACTGGTCCCGCCCACCTATACGCGTGCCAGTCGCTGAGAAATTGCTTAATCATTGAATAACTGTCACCAATAATATTTCAGTAGCGGCACACAAGAAACTTAATTGTATTCTATGAAAAATTTTCAGCGTTGAATTGTGAGAAATGCGTGGGCCCATGATCGAACGGGATTATCTAGGTTTTATTGTCAGTCGCACGAACAGTTTCCTTCCAATATCTTTACATCTGTGGTTTTCAGTCGATTTACATAAGCATGGTATCAGATCGTAGGTGGATGTGTTTGTACCTAAAATTTTGTTGTCAAATGAAAGTCAAGATCGTAATTCCTCGTTTGTGTTGAAAAAGAAGGAAACCCACTTTTGACAGGAATTTTAACCTACTTACTTAACTTATTTGAACTGTTTTTATAAGGTAGTGAAGTATAGCTCTTTAACCATACGTGCATGGTGAAACAATCAAAACAAAAAATCGCAAGAAGAGTGTTATTATGCTAATTTGAATACAAGTCACCAAAATCACCGTTGTCCACGTGTAGGCCCAGCGTAGTGTTTTTGTCTTCAAATCTAGCGCCGGAGCTCACAGGTTTGACACATGAAATTTGTAACCTACCATATCTCACATGCATTTGCAATCATATTTTTTTCGTCATTTATTTGTAAAGATCAATATTTTAATACCATTAAATTGAATTGTTGAAATATGCTCAACAATTAGGTGACAATTGCTGTCAAATGTGGGTTTCCTTCTTTTTGCACCACTGTAGGCCTATTGCTTTTTATTTTTTTTTCAGATTGTTAGAACTTATAATGCGATAGTTTGCAGCTGCATGTAGGCCTACCTCACATGTGCAATTAACGTGTTTATTCGCGTGCGTTCTTTGGCATTTTTTCCTCTGCTTGATTGCTCTTGCATGAAAAAAAAAATATGAAAAGCTTGCATTTACTGTTCGGTACATAATATAGTGCCCAAAATAAAACTGGGTGGAAAATCTTCAAAAGACGGACTTTGTTGTTTGAACGGCTGCGCCGTGCGTGGGCACGCGAACATTGTGCCCGGCTCTTTGAGGTGCATTTTCCTATGAATTTTATGACTGCTTAACCCCATTCCGGGCGCGGGCGGTGAAGTAACAACGATTCGCCACCTTGCAAGCTCTAGCCGACCGACATAACACGCAAGATTTTTTTTTATTTCCAAATAGAGAAAGTTGTTTTGCAGGTTTGGGCGCAATTTGAACTCTCTCATTCCAAAGAACACTAAAAACAAAATCACTCGTATCGAGTGAAAATTGATCCATTTTCCCACTGAAACAATGCACGGACAGGGCGCAGTATAGAGTAAAATTCATCATTACATCGAACGGATTAAGGTTTGATTCGAGGTTCAACGGAAATGAGTTTGTTTGTTCAAGTTTATGTACGTCAATTTAAAATTGGAGTTGATTTTCACGCCAAATTGGCTGATCCCTCATTGAATATTGGAGAGGTTTGACATTACACAGAGTTAATAAAGGATATTGTAAATCTGTGCTTTGTGTCGATATAATCGGCACGTTCCTTCAAATGGAACATTTCTTTTACCAAAATTAATGTGTCCTTATTCTGCAGAAAGCGCCCTCTGTATGATGTGTACTGCTTGACACGCATTCGCATTCATCCAACAATAGACCCTATGCGTACAGCGGCCATCTTGGAGGACAAGTCCTTTATTCCACTGGGATTGGCACGAGTGGATATTTGTGTGCATTCATTGTTACTGAATGAAAAATGATTAAAAAAAATACGAATTGTCAGCGCGAGTTGACAGGCGGGGCTCCACCCCAAACAACCCCCCCCCCAAAAAAAAAAAAACAAGTGTCACCTTGAACTGCTACCTTCGTCAGTTTATCGAATTTACCCATCTCCCCTAAATTTAGGCCCAAGAGAATGATG